TGCTGGGAAAACTGGACAGTTACATGCAAAAGAATGAAATTAGAACAGTTTCTTACACCATATACAAAATTAAACTCAAAATGGATTAAAGACCTAAATGTAAGACTGGAAACCATGAAACTCACAGAAGAAAACATAGGCAGAACACTCTTTGACATAAATTGTAGCAATATTTTTTTGGATCTGTCTCCTAAAGCAAAGGAAATAAAAGGAAAAATAAACAAATGGGACCTAATTAGACTTAAAAGCTTTTGCACTGCAAAGGAAATCATTGACAAAACAAAAAGACAACCCACTGAATGGGAGAAAATATTTGCTAATGATATGACTGATAAGGGATTAATATCCAAAATATATAAACATGGTAGAAAATATTTGCAAACGAAGCAACTGACAAAGGATTAATCCCCAAACTTTACAAGCAGCTCATGCAGCTCAATATTAAAAAAAACAAACAGTCCAATCCAAAAATGGGCAGAATACCTAAATGGACATTTCTCCAAAGAAGATATACAGATTGCCAACAAACACATGAAAGGATGCTCAACATCACTAATCATTAGAGAAGTGCAAATCAAAACTACAATGAGGTATCACCTCACACCTGTCAGAATGGACATCATCAAAAAATCTACAAATAATAAATGCTGGAGAGGGTGTAGAGAAAAGGGAACTCTTTTGTACTGTTTGTTGCAATGTAAATTGATACAGCCACTATGGAGAACAGTATGGAGGTTCCTTAAAAAACTAAAAATAGAACTACCATACGACCCAGCAATCCCACTATTGGGCATATACCCTGAGAAAACCATAATTCAAAAAGAGTCATGTGCCACAGTGTTCACTGCAGCTCTATTTTCAATAGCCAGGTCACAGAAGCAACCTAAGTGTCCATCGACAGATGAATGGATAAAGAAGATGTGGCACATATATACAATGGAATATTACTCAGCCATAAAAAGAAACGAAATTGACTTATTTGTAGTGAGGTGGATGGACCTAGAGTCTGTCATACAGAGTAAAGTAAGTCAGAAAGAGAAAAACAAATACCGTATGGTAACATATATATATGGAATCTAAAAAAAAAGAAAAAAAAGAAAAAAAAGAAAATGGTTCTGAAGAACCTAGGGGCAGGACAGGAATAAAGACACTGATGTAAAGAATGGACTTGAGGACACGGGGAGGGGGAAGGGTAAGCTGGGACGAAGTGAGAGAGTGGCATGGACATATATACACTACCAAATGTAAAACAGATAGCTAGTGGGAAGCAGCCGCATAGCACAGGGAGATCAGCTCAGTGCTTTGTGACCACCTAGAGGGGTGGGATAGGGAGGGTGGGAGGGAGATGCAAGAGGGAGGAGATATGGGGATATATGTATACGTACAGCTGATTCACTTTGTTATAAATCAGAAACTAACCATTGTAAAGCAATTATACTCCAATAAAGATGTTAAAAATTATATATATATATATATAAACAGCACATACAACTCAACATCAAAGAAAAAAAAACTCAGCCCAATTAAAAAATGGGCAGAAGACCTGAATAGACATTTTTCCAAGGAAGACATACAGATGGCCAACAGGCACATGAAAAGATACTCAACACTGTTAATCACCAAAGAAATGCAAATTAAAACCTCAGTGAGATATCACCTCACACCTGTCAGAATGGCCATCATCAAAAAGACCACAAATAACAATGTTGGAGAGGATGTGGAAAAAAGGGAACTCTTGTGCACTGTTCGTGGGAATGTAAATTGGTGCAGTCACTGTGGAAAACAGTATGGTGGTTTCTCAAAAAAGTAAAATACAACTACCATATGACCCAGCAATTCCACTCCTGATAGTATCTCCAAAAAAATGAAAACACTAATTTGAAAAAATACATGCACCCCAATGTTCAGAGCAGCATTATTTACAATTGTCAAGATATGGAAGCAAGCTAAGTGTCCATCAACAGATGAATGTATAAAGAAGATGTAATACACACACACACACAATGGAATATTACTTAGTCATAAAAAGAATGAAATGTTGCTATCTGCAACAACATGGATAGACTTGGAGGGTATTATGCTTAGTGAAATAAGTCAGACAAAGACAAATAATGTGTGCTATCACTCGCACGTGGAATCTAAAAAATAAAACAAACTAGTGATATAACAAAACGGAAACAGACTCACACACATAGAGAACAAACTAGTGGTTACCAGTAGGGAGAGGGACCAGGGGAGGGACAAGATAGGGGTATGGAATTTAGAGGTGCAAACTATTATGTATAAAATAAATAAGCTACAAGGATATATGGTACAACACAGGGAAGATGGCCAATATTTTAGAATAACCATAACTGGAGTATAACCTTTACAAACTGTGAATCACTGTGCTGTATACTTGTAACTTATATAATATTGTACATTAACTATATCTCAATTTTTAAAAAACTGAAAAAAAATCCAAATTCTTCCTCTTGATCCTAAAAGTGCTCCACATTTGGTACTGCTCTACTTATCTACCCAAGCTTATTAGCTCACTTCTTACCTAGCTTATTTCTTACAACACAAATCATCTATTCTAGACAAGCAAACTGCTAATGGACCAGAGAGAGGAAGCTCTATGGGGTAGTGCTTACGTAGCTGGGCTGGAATTAGACTGCAAAGATGCAGATCCTGGTTCTACCATTTACTAACTGCATGACTTTGGGCAATTTACTTAACCCTTATGATCTTCAGTCTTCTCATCTATAAAATGAGGATACTGGTAATATCTACCTCCTAGGCCCACTGTGAAGATTTATAAAAATAAGCACTGCCTGATACATTGTACTTGCTCCATAAATACTGGCTACATGTCTTTATTCATATCACTACCATCTACTGGAATGACCCTCTTCCTCCTCCCAACTATTCAAATTCTATGCAGGCTCAAAGGCCAAGTTATTCTTCCATAAAATCTCCACCAGTTACTCCCTTCATTATCTCCCTCTTCTACAGTACACTAGTTCTCAACCTTGTAGGGGAGGGGTAGAGAGTCACAGAGGTCTTAGAGAATCTGATGGGGAAAAAAGAAGTTCTTCTTAAGAGTTCTTCACAAACGCGTGTTTGAATAACTTATCTCCCACTCATAGAACTCTAAAACTGAGAAATAATGTTAGCCCATTTTTCAGATGAGATGATGATCCCTTGGGGAATCTGTCCCCAGGTAATCAGGACAGAAATCACCAAGACTCATTCTCAGAATGATAATTACTAAACATGCCAGCAATGTTATTATATTTTATTCTATAGGAATACCTTGTTTTATTGTGTTTTGCTCTATCGTGCTTTGCAGATTCTGTTTTTCACCAATTGAAAGGTTTGCGGCAAACCTGAGTTATCAGATGATGGCTAGCATTTTTTAGCAAGAAAGTGTTTTTAATTAAGGTATGCACACTGTTTTTTTAGACATAATGCTATTGCACATTTAATAGACTAAAGTATTATCTAAACATAACTTTTATATGCATTGGGAAACCAAAAAAATTCATGTGACTTGATTTATTGCAGTATTCACTTTATTGCAGTGGTCTAGAACCAAACCCGCAGTCTCTCCGAGGTATGCCTGTACTTTACCTTCCTTGTACTGAAATTCTCTGACTAGTTTTCTCTGAAGCAACACCAAACTATGAAACACAAAATTGCCCCAATTTTATTATTTGAGGGAGTTAACTTTGAAGCTTTCTTTAAAACTTTTCTGTAATTATAATAAACAAAGAACATCATCAGTTCTAGGTCTCAGGCCAGAAAAGATACAAATAAAGCCAATCCACCATAATCTTTCATTCCCAGACATGACTTTATAAATATAAATATTTTTAAATATAGCTTCTATCGGGGCTTCCCTGGTGGCGCAGTGGTTGAGAGTCTGCCTGACGATGCAGGGGACACGGGTTCGTGCCCTGGTCTGGGAAGATCCCATATGCCGCGGAGCCGCTGGGCCCATGAGCCATGGCCGCTGAGCCTACGCGTCTGGAGCCTGTGCTCTGCAACGGGAGAGGCCACAGCAGTGAGAGGCCCGCGTGCCGCAAAAAAAAAAAAAAAAAAAATCTATCTTCTGACCTACAAGAATTTTTCCACAACAACTAACAAATAGTAAAATAATCTATACTCTGCTCATTCTCTACCCTTTCTTCCAATTCTCAAAGAAGTTTAACGGTAAGCAAGAAAAAAAGAAAAAGGAAAAGCATCATGAATAACCTACAAAACACAATAATCAACCTCCACGTTATTAAAAACCGATTAGCACATCTGTAGTCACAGTCTCCTTGTGCACACAGGAAGCTGTTTCACTATGTGGAGTCATACAACCAGCCTAGGAAATGAGATAAATGACTCAGGAAGAGGGGGAGGTCTGTAAATGGATACATCAGTCAAAAGCTTTAATCAAAAACCAGGAGAGAAAGCACTTTACAAGAAAGTAATATTGGAGTATCTGAAGAGCATAACTTTTTAACAAAAGAAAAGGATCATACAGATGAATCGTAAAGGCCACCTAGTCAAAATCCTTCATTTTCCAGATGAAAAAACTGAAGCCTGAGACCTAAACCATGGACTCCTTTGAAATCCACAGGCTTTCCAGAGAAGGGAATCTAGGAACCACCATAAGAAGGCCGCTTCCTCCCCAGCTGAAATTCACACTATCTTGTATAATGAGGCAATTGAAATAAATACTGGAAAATGCCAGGAACATTATTTATACATTCTAAATAATAACTCCTACTTAGGCCTTAGGGGAGAGTACACACACAAGCAACTGGATCTTCTGGATTACCAAATGCCCAGGGAGCTGGCTTAGACTGCAGTGCACTCTTGGGATGCTGACAAGGATGCAGTCACACACCTACTTGCCACTCAGAGATCGTTTCCTTTGCTGTCTTCCTTTGGCAAGTAAAAAGACCTAGAAAAAGAAAAGTGTACGCTACAGAATTTACCATATATAGAGTCATGCTTTTTAGGTTTTCCACCTGTTGTTTTCATTTTTCACAGACATGTTCTAAAAAGTAATGGGTTAATAATGTTTAGAAACAATTTTTGGTTAAGAGGGCCAAGAATTAATGTTTATTTGGCATAGGGGTAACTTCCCTGCACATTCTTTTTTTTAAAATAAATTTATTTATTTATGGCTGTGTCGGGTCTTCACGGCTTTCTCTACTTGCAGAGAGCGGGGGCTACCCTACATTGCGGTGCGCCGGCTTCTCATTGCCGTGGCTTCTCGTGTTACAGAGCATGGGCTCTAGGCATGCGGGCTTCAGTAGCGCACAGGCTCAGTAGTTGTGGTGCACAGCCTTAGCTGCTCTGTGGCATGTAGGATCTTCCCGGACCAGGGCTCGAACCTGTGTCCCCTGCCTTGGCAGGCAGATTCTCAACCACTGAGCCACCAGGAGAGCCCCCTGCTCATTCCTGATATTGCTCATGTGGGAAATTTAGAACATTTTTTTTTTTTTAGAAGAACATTTTGATTGGCAGATCGGTATATGTTCACACATGGTCTATAACTGCGAAGACAAATTGAAAGCCGTGTGGTGATGCAGTTGCTTTCTTTAGGGGAAAAGCATTCAGGACTCGGTTGCCTAATTGGGAGTAAATCTACTTTCAAGTCATTTACAAAAACTGTTCAGATTTTATCGACTTAAGAAAAACACAAAAAAAGATTTCTTACTCATTGCAATTTTACTTTTGTAAGTTAAAACAGAATAGAAAATGATCATTTAATAAATGGATCTAAATTTTTCTGTTATTGGACTCTAAGTACAAATATCCGTAAAATTCTGGACCTTCGGCTTTCCTCTGTATATCACTTTCATTTTTATATTGAACTCTAAATCTAAAGCCAATTTCATTCCCTTGGGATTTGGTGATGAAGTCTCAGGAATGAAAAACATCAGCCAGTGCCGCTTGCTCAACTCACAGGTGATTAAGATTTTGGCAAGGGCTCCCCTGGTGGCACAGTGGTTGAGAGTCTGCCTGCCAATGCAGGGGACACGGGTTCGTGCCCCGGTCTGGGAAGATCTCACACACATGCTGCAGGGCGGAGTGCTCCGCAACTGGAGAGGCCACGGCAGGGAGAGAGGCCCGTGTACCGCAAAAAAAAAAAAAAAGATTTTGGCAAACGCCGTTTTCTGAAGTGCAACCATTGTGTATTTTACAGAGAACAAAACAACTTACGTCAGTTCTAAAATGCTACCATCATTTTTTTTGCCCTCAAATCCAAAGTTCCTTCTAGGCAAATGTACAATGTTCAATCTGCTTCTCCACTAACCGCACAAAACCTTAGCGCTGCATCTTTTTCCTTTTTAAAACGAAATAATAGATTTTGTGTATGGGTTTCTGACTAAAACTGAAGTACATGAATACACAGATTTTTATCTATGATTAAGAAATTTTCAAAATTAAATTTTCACTTCAAGTACTTCCAAGTTAAATTATAAATCAGTTAAAAATGAACCATGTGGAAATAATGTAAGTGTTTTAAGGGTCCTTTTCTATTATTTTATCAAATTACTGGAACATTGGATTTCCTAGACAAAAATACTCAAATTAACTATGTTCACAGCAGGATTAAAGAATGGTCGAATCAACCCTAATGATTTCCTTTACCAAAAAGGGGCAACTGAGAAATGTTTAGAAAGTAAATCTAAGTTAATCAAAAGAATGAAGAAAGAAATTGCTTACAAAAATGTTTAACTGACCAAACTAGTTGTTTTGAGGGAACCTGAAAGGTAGTACTTTCACATGTTTAACCATCTTGCCCACGATTGGGGGGAGGGGAATCTCCCTATAGGTTACATTGCTACAAAAACATAATTGTTGCTTTTTCTGTCCTGTCCCTCATTTTTGCCTTTCTTGAGAAAACTTCTTAAGGCTCTAGAAAGTAGCTAAGATGGAAAATCGGAGTGGGTAAGAAATATCTGGAAAAGAAGCATAAGCAGAAGTGTCATCCCACGTGAGTAGTTTGGGGCCAGATCACAAACATCCAAGCCCAAGAACAAGGTAGAGAAGGGAGTTTTTGAGGAGAAGAGTGATTTGGCCAGATCTGTGGAAGATAAATCCTCTAGAACGAAGTAAGGAAACTCTCAGGATGCTCCAGGGATAGGTCCCCAGGTATCAGTCAAGGTCCTGGCAGAAAACAGGTAGCAGTCAGGCTGGGTAATTTAAGATCAACAAAGGCAATACTACAAGGATGTAGACATGGCTTAAGGAAATTCACAAAGGATAGGACTACAATGGCAAAAGCCATAACCACTCCGAGGCCTGCAAGAACCAGGGGAATAATTAGAGTAGCTGGGAGAGGGTGGCTGCATGGAGAAAGCTGCCTGATTGTAGCTATGGCCTTTTAGAGGAACCAGCCAACCCACAGTAATAACCACAGAGGGCTAGGGACAAACATGCCCTCACCTCTCCCTCTTCACATCCTCTGATCTTCTGTCACTGCCTCCTCTGGCTGCATGCAGCTGGAAGCCAGGGGCAGGAGCAGGGTGGAGAGAGTACCAGAAGAAGTAGATAGAAGAGTCCCAGTCTAGGGGTGAGGTCACAGTAGTGGGAATGAGAAAGGAACAATACAGAGACAAATTTAATAGGACTTTTAGACCAACTGAATTTAGAGATGGGAAGAGAAAAGCCAAGGATGACATCATAGGTTCAAGCCTTGCTAGACTAGAATGGATGATTACATCAACTGAGCCTGTTTTTACTAACTGTTGTATTCCCAACGCCCAGCGCAGTGCCTTGGCCATGAAAAACCTTCTATAAACATTTGTTGGAGGGGAGAAAAGGTGGATGGATGATGGAAGAAGCAAATTTTCAGGAAGATGATGTGTTATGTAGTCTTAGACACACTGAGTTTAGAGTATGGTAGAAGAGCCCAGCAGGTGGTTGGAGATTTGAGTCCAGTGCTCTGAAAAGGAAAGGGAGAAAGATGTACCTCTAAGATTCATCTGCACAGAAGTGGCAGCTGACGCAATGAGAGTGGATGAAATGGCATAGAGAGCAGGTATAAAGAGAAAAGAAGTGGGGTCTGATGACCAAACTGGGGATCTATCTGCAATATGGGACAAAGGAAGAAAGACAAAGGGAAAAACCAACAAAAGGAAACGACAATATTTACAACCCTTTGCCGTACTGTTATAGTATATTCACATATATCTGCACATCCCTGGTAAGCTCTCTTTTTTCTTAACACTGCACAATCTTGCCCAACATAAAGATGATACAAATGCAAGCTGGAGACTGCCACATACCTATCTGCCTCAATAAGGTATTTTTTAAAGCCCCCAAATCCCGGTCTTACTAGTTTTGCTCACCTTGAATCTAACAGCCATCATTAATCCCTTTTTAATTTAGAAATTAGGCTTATTCTTTCAAGCAATCATGTACTGAATACCTATTATGTATCCAGCACTATACTCAGCAAAGTGGAAGTAAAAATCAGTCTCTGGTCATCAAGGAAATTAAAATCGACTTGGATTATAAAGAAACACTTGAGCATAAAACAATTAAAGTCCGGTTAAGAGCTGACCTATATGATTCGAACCAAATAGCATTTTATCCAGTGAGAATTCCATTCAACGCCTATCGACATCTGCTCTTTCTTTTCCCTAACTCAGAAGATTGACAAAGGAGCTAAATTCTACACAGCTGTACTTCCTATTTAAGGCCCAACCATGCCATATTGTAAATTTCTCTTAACCTTTCTTTCTACACAGCTGTACTTCCTATTTAAGGCCCAACCATGCCATACTGTAAATTCCTCTTAACCTTTCTTTCTTCCCCACTGTTCCATAAGGTCTCGTTAATCTTTGTATCTAGTGTCTCAAACATAGTAGTCATTCAAATGTTTGTTAAATGAATGAATGAATCAGAAGCTAAGCCAAGCCCAGAACAGCCATATCAGTGTCCTTAACACTCTCCTATGGCAAATCCCAAATGCTTTAAGGGTCAAGGAAGTTACCTAACATGACCTTTGACCTGGCCTTGGCCCCATGGGATGACTGGTATTAAAAACTTGGTGTTGAGCATTAAGACAAAGGCTCAGAAAAACCCCAGCAAATCTTAAAATGCTTTTAGAAAAGAGGAAGAAAGAATATTAGAGCCCAATTCCTGAGGCATAAAATGTGCTCACTAAATGTTTGATGAGTGAATGAACAAAGGAGAGCTGAGGAAAGCCAATGAGCTCAAGAAGAGACCAAACTCAGGGGGGCAGGTGTGATAGGTGGGGCTGTATCTAAAGCCCTCTCTAGCTGACACTCAACTGAATCTATTTCCTAACTAACGGCTATTATGTCCATTTCTATGGATTAATTCTCCAGCTAACCCCTTCTTCACTAATCCCAACTTCCCATTAAAGGAAAACAAATCCTATAAACCACACAATCATCAGTGCCTCCTACACTGGACTGTACATATTCATCACCTCGATATTTTGTTAAAATGAAGGTTTTGACTCATTACATCTGGGGTGAGGCCAGAGATTCTGCATCTCTAACGAGTTCCCAGGTGATGCTACACTGCTGGTCGACAGACCACACTTTTCCAGCATGAAGAGCCTAGAAGACATTGCAGATAATATGTATGTAGTCTTAAAATCACAGTTAAGATAACTCCTGCTCCCACACTTCCTAGTTGTAAAATCTTAGACAAGTCATTTTACTGAGCCTGCCTTTGGAATATGGTGCTTACTAGGTACCAGGAACTAATGCTTCAAATTTATCAACTTATGAATAGGACTTAAGTTAAACAACCTGTCCATTGTGGATACAATAAACCCAGATCTTATTCTAGGAGTTTGATTCAAGAACCTGGTGCTTAATCACTGTATAAGATTGCCTTTTCAGCATAGCTCCCAGAGCCATTATGAAGATTAAATAATAATTGGTACTTAGCTCACATTTACTGAGCACTCATAGGCTCCAGACCTCTGTGTAAGCTCCCTTGGGAGCATATTAACTCATTTATCTTCATGGCAGCCCTAAGAGGCAGGTACTATTAGTATCCTCATCGTACAGGTTTTAAAATAGGCCCAAAGAAGTTAAACAGCTTAAGGTCAAACACTGGTGCAGTCAAGGTCGGAATCCAGGCAGTCTCACGGCAGAGCCCGGCGCTCTTTTGCCACAAGCCAGCAGAGGATGCGGCCCAGGGTTCCGGGGACCAGATATCAGCTCACCCACTCAGGGCGGTCTAACTGCCAGGTCCGCTCACTCCCAAAACAAACCAAGCCCTCGTCTACACGTAGCTTTACGTACATCTGTGGGAAGTGTCTTTCTCGGCCCACAACCCGGACCCCCATGAACAAGTCAGGGCTCTGGAGAAAAATAATTTGTCAGGTCCTAAGAAGAGCTGATTGGCTAAACATCTTGAGAGCTGACTTACACTTAAACTGTAACACAGTTGCTCCGGGACCCCCTTAATCTGCGGCCCCCAAAACATGCACCGCAGGCTGGGCTCCGCGCGCCTACTCCGCCTACATCCGGTCTCGAGCCCAAGGGCCGCCTCTAATCCCATTTGCTCTCCAACACCGCCCTCTGCCGGCCTTCCCTTGGGTCGCCGGCATTGTGAGTCCCTTCCGGGTGTCCCGGAAGCGGAGTTTTCTCTTCCGGGACGAGCGTCTGAGCGACCGCACGTGGTAGTAGCGCCGGGGCTTGAACCTAGCTGGCAGAGAAGTGATTGCAACTGCCTCCCAGAGAGAGGGAGCCGAGCCGGAGCCATGGAGGGTCAGAGCGTGGAGGAGCTGCTGGCAAAAGCGGAGCGGGACGAGGCAGAGAAGCTGCAGCGCATCACGGTGCACAAGGAACTGGAGCTGGAGTTCGACCTGGGTAACCTGCTGGCCTCGGACCGGAACCCTCCGACCGGGCTGCGGCACGCGGGACCCACGCAGGAGGCCGAGCTGCGGGCCCTGGCGCGGGACAACACGCAGCTGCTTATCAACCAGCTGTGGCAGCTGCCCACCGATCGTGTGGAGGAGGCGCTGGTGGCGCGGCTGCCGGAGCCCACCACTCGTCTGCCGCGCGAGAAGCCTGTGCCCCGGCCGCGGCCGCTTACACGCTGGCAGCAGTTTGCGCGCCTCAAGGGCATCCGTCCCAAGAAGAAGACCAATCTGGTGTGGGACGAGGGGAGCGGCCAGTGGCGCCGCCGCTGGGGCTACCAGCGGGCCCGCGACGACACCAAGGAATGGTTGATCGAGGTGCCCGGGAATGCCGACCCCATGGAGGACCAGTTCGCCAAGCGGATTCAGGCTAAGAAGGAACGGGTGGCCAAGAACGAGCTGAACCGGCTGCGTAACCTGGCCCGCGCGCACAAGTTGCGGCTGCCCAGCGCGGCCGGCATGCACCCTACCGGACACCAGAGTAAGGAGGAGCTTGGCCGCGCCGTGCAGGTGGCCAGGGTCTCCACCGCCTCTGTGGGGCGCTTCCAGGAGCGCCTGCCCAAGGAGAAGGCGCCCCGGGGCTCTGGAAAGAAGAGGAAGTTTCAGCCTCTTTTCGGGGACTTTGCAGCCGAGAAAAACAGCCAGTTGGAGATGCTGCGAATAATGAACAGCAAGAAGCCTCAGTTGGACGTTACGAGGGCCACCAATAAGCAGATGAGGGAGGAGGACCAGGAAGAGGCGGCTAAGAGGAGGAAAATGAGTCAGAAGGGCAAGAGAAAGGGGGGCCGACAGGGTCCCGGGGGTAAGAGGAAAGGGGGCCCGCCCAGCCAAGGAGGGAAGAGGAAAGGGGGCCCGCCCAGCCAAGGAGGGAAGAGGAAAGGGGGCTTGGGAGGCAAGATGAATTCCGGGCGGCCTGGCTTGAGTGGCAAGAGAAAAGGAGGGCAACACCAAGGAGGAAAGAGGAGGAAGTAAATTTCACCCTCGGACCTGCTTGTAAACCAAGAACTGTACTTAATGTTAAGTTCTAGGTACAGTAGGGGGATACAGAAGATGGGGCCGCTGCCTGCATCGAGCTTCAGGTTAAAGGGCTAGGCTTGCCCTCCTCTGAAGATGGTTGTAAATGTTTGATTCGACAAATTAATGCATTTCCCACAGCCAAAACTTTTGCTGGAGATTAAAGGATGTATTTAAGGACATACGAATTGGAAAGAATTTGTGGGAACTAGGAGTGAGTTCTGTTTTTAAACAGCCTTTTTTTTTTTCTCTGTCTTTAAACTTTGGATGGGGTGTAAGGGAGAGAGCTGGTCGTATTTCAGAGACTTTTAATAGATTGGTATCTGCATTATTTTGATAACAAGCTTGTGTATTTATCAAAGGAGAGGGACAGAAAGGTTACATTTTCAGAACTGTTGTAAAGGTTATTTAATAAAAGTGTCTTATGTAATGTTGCTTTTAACTTTTTGGCTACTGGTCCAAATCTTAAGTAAAGCTTGTGACCTGGATACCTGGCACAGATTACTTTCATTTACTTTCTAGAAAACATAGCAGCTAAATTACGATTTCAGTGAGACCACTTTTATTAGAAAAGCTCATCCTTCTTTTGGTATCAGATATAATATTGAAAGTGTAGTACAACTGGTGCCTCTTTCAACACTGAAAACATTAATTTGCTGTAAATGATAAATTGGGGCTTCACTAAATAATAGTAATAATCCTCATTAATCCTAATTTTATACTTAAATCTTTATCAACATTTATGTCCCCAGTTTTTTTAAAGCTTCAAGTAGGTCTGTTTGGGGAAGAGAGAAAGAAACTCACAAAGTCCTTACTTGGAACACTATCTTTTGATTCATTTGTCAAATTTACCTGAGCTGGTTTGATTAGGAGGTGAAATGTTTACAGCTATTCTGGGTCTCTTTCCCTAATTGATATCAGTAACTCATCTTCATAAAAATACATATCCTGAAAAGGATTCATAGTACATCTAGAATGGGGGGGTAGTGCTTTTTTGCTGCTGTTATAGGTCTGAGGAGCCACTCTACTCTTGCTTTTTGGTCTGACAATTGATAGGAAATTAAAATTGAGATCGTTTGTCTCTCATTTTTTCACTGTTGTCTCATCTTTGTTACTTTTAGAAATTGCTATGAAAGAAAAGATTAATTCAGATTTCATAATAGGTTACTAAAACACAGATGTTCAGTTGTTACTGTCTTAAAATACTTTGTGATAAAGTTAACTCTGCCATCATTGATCATTGTTTCCACTGGGACCTGGAAACTTGGAGCTGCTAAACCCTGGCCCTCCCTTCCCACATAACCGTGGAAACTTAACTACTGATAAAACCATTTAATGGTATCCTGAACAACTTCATCAAAAGCCAAACCATTCATAGGCCATTTAACACCTTTTAAATTCTTCTCAACTGTCCGGGATTTTTTGTTTTTGTTACTGTTTTGTTTGGGAATTTTTCCGGCTTTTGTTTTGTGACTTGATCTAGCAGTTGGACACAATACTGGCCTTGTAAAAATGAAAAAAAGACCCTCGGGCTTTTTGCAAAGTTCTTGTTTACCGTTAAAACAAATTTAAATGCAGTGTCTTAATTTATTCTGAAAATACTCTGAGAAGCCAAAATAGCAGAGTGGAAAAAGAATGCCCTTGTTTCTCCCTTTCCCCACGTCCCCAACTTGTGACATAGAGCGTTTTATATAGAGACTTAGGAAAATACCCCAAATCCCTACGGAGCAGTTACCTGTGTGGCAATTTCAAAGGTGGATGGTGAGACTTTTCAGCTGGGGCAGTCGTAGTTCCGACTGGTGGGAAAATGGTCCTCTGCCAAGGGCTGTCGCTGGGGCCGGAGACAGCGGCGCGGGTGGGCGGAGGAGAGGCGGCGGCCGGGATTGGCCGGCGGCGGAGGGGGCGGCGCCGCGGAGAGAAGCGCTCTGCACAGCCATGGCCGCTCCTCGCGACAGGGTAGCGCACTTGCTGAGGCAACTGCAACGCGCAGCGTGAGTGCGGGCGGCGCGGGCTGGCGGGCAGGGGATCGGAGGGTGCGGCCGAGCCCACGCAGCCCCCGGGGAGCAACTCGCCCGGGCCGGCACGTTCTTCCTCGTGTCACTTTCGAGAATTAGGGGACCGGGTACCGCAGTGCGCGGCGGCCTGGACGGCGCTGTCTGCCAAGCAGCCAAGCAGCCAAACGGCCAAGCGCGGCGCGATAGGCTGCTTTTCCTCTGCCTGATCTGCGGTTTAGGAAAGTAAGGCCCAGAGAGGAGAGCGCCTGGTCCCAGATCTACGCAGGCAGCGGAGAGCTTGGAACAGTGACCCAGAGAAATGCATGTATCCAATCAACACATATGTATCGGGTGTATGTAATGTGCCCAAAACTGTTCTAGGTGCCGGGGATACAAAGATGAAAGACTCTGCAGCAAAGTCTAGCAGGGAATTGCATGAGCGGACAGGAGTGAAACGGGCCTCTGCAGAATGCAGCGGACAGAGGCTGTAGAAGAGAGAGGGATGAGAGAAATCACCAGGAGCTTGACTCCCTGGCTTGTACAGGGCAGTCAGGGTATTAAACGTTATGACACGTCTGACTCGCCCTCCAGAAATGCCGGGTACACAGTAGCTGCCTGATAAATATTTGTTGAATGTGCAGGTGCACACGTCCGCCTGGGAACACAGGGGGATAAATGAGCGAACAGGTGGAGATAAATAGGGGGAAAGGAGGGGACTAGAGAGGAATTTCAGGCAAAGGGAAGAGCAACACCAGAGACAAAAGCCGTAGTTCCAGGATATAAAAGTAGCTAAAGACTGGACCTACCATGATAGGAGGACGTGAGGAAAGAAAAAACAGATGGTGAAAGATCATGAATTAGAAAATAGCCAAATTTACTGGGCACTTACCAAGCACAGGGCGCTGTCCTACACACTTTACATGTACTACTACTAATAACTCTAATCCTTACGACAACGCTATGCCAAGCTGTATTATTATCCTTCTATTACAGATAAAGAAATAAAGGCATGGAGAAAAATAATTTGCCCAGTGTCATACACTAAGCAAGTGGCACACCCATAATCTGGACCCAGGTGTTCTGGCTTCACTATCCTTGTTCTCAGTCCTATGCTAAGGAATTTTAATTGTGTCCTGTAGATAATAGAAAGCTGTTGAAGCAATAGTCCTCACCGTGAAACATACTCTTTGAGATGCCCCATGAAAAAAGAATCCCATGGCCAGATAAGTTTGCGAAACTAACCAACTGCTGCATCACCCTATGGAGAGTCAGGATATACGTCAGCACACGAAGGACACTGAGAACTCCTGCAGGGAAGAAAAGAAACAAAGTTTAGCTGTATTTAAACTCTTTGTTCTAAACCTGTGTCATCACAGAACTCTTTATCAAGCAACCCCATTCATATCCCTTGGAACCAGTGTCACGTAGAACGTGTTTTTGGAATAGCTGCACGCAAAGGAGGGTGGCATGATTAGAATTAAGCTGAAGCTTTCTGGCGGCAGTGGAGAGCAAAGACTGGAGGTAATTGTCAGGCTCCAGCTAAAAGGCACCAAGGAGCGGCAATTGGTACAAGAGGGTAGATGTAAGAGATATGGAGATGTAAGAAAAATTGGTTAGAATCAGCAGGATTTTGTGTCTGATTAGTGAGACAGGAGAAGTGGAGGTTTCTGGCTGGGGCATCGGTAAACAGTGGGGCCATTTACCAACGTAGGGACTGTAAACTTTAGGAGCAAGATGATAATCATTTTGAGTTGGACATGCCTCACGTACATCCAGGTGAAGACCCCGAGCAGGTAATTGAATACATAGTTCTGGAGCTCGGGAGCGAGTTGGAAACACACCCATATATAGAGAGCAGTTGACACCATGGATGTAGAAGCAAAGGCCTTGACAAACTGTATTCCTAGAAGAAAAGGGCTGAGGATGAAGTCCTGCGGAGCAGCACTGTGTGGTGCTTTGTTCTTTGCATTTTTTTTTTTTTAATCCCATGTAGAAAGTGAGAGATTGCAGGTAAAAATCTTGGAAAATTGGGAAATGGTATCATTAGGCCCACGTTTTGCCCGGGGAAAGTCTGCCAGAGCTGAGGTGAAGCCGTGCCCACCTGCTTTGGACAGGGCAGCACTCCAGCTTCCTGAGAGACAAGTCCCTCCACCCCAGGGCAGCCCACCACTCAGTCCACACACACAGCAGCTGTGCTGACAGCCAGCTGCTCTGGCCTCATTTCCATTACCTGCTGGCCTCTTTAGGCACTTGGATTTGCACATGCTTTGCACTCTGACTGCTGGAAAAGGAACCAGCATTAAAGGATAGGAGGGGTGACCAAAGAGGTGAGAGGAAGGAAGGGAAGGAGGGAAGGACAGTTTGCAGTGCTCTCATCCCCAGGGTACCGCAGGGAACCAAGCAGCCTAACATCCGTGGGACTTAAGTGTGTGTGTGGTGGTGGTGGGGTGGGGGGGGCGGTGGGGTCAGGCAGGGCAGATAATAAACAATAAACTAGTAAGTAAAACTTAGAGTATATTTGATGCAGCTAGGTACTAAAGAGAAAGAGAAAGCAAAGGGGGATGGGGTGTTAGAGGAGAGGGTGCAATTTTAAAGACAGAGAAAACCTCGACTACATACAGTTTCCTGTGGCTGCTGTAACCAATTACCATGAACTTAGTGGCTTAAAACAACACACATTTATTATCTTACAGTTCTGAAGTTCAGAAGTCCAAAATCAGTTTTCCTGGGCCCAAATCAAGGTGTCGGCAGGGCCACATTCCCTTCAGAGGCTCTAGGGCAGAGTCCATTATCTTGCTTTTAACAACTTCTAGAGCTGCAGTGCCTGCATTCCTTTGCTGGTGGCCCCTTCCTCCATCTTCACAGCCAGCAACGTAGCATCTCGCTTCAGCGGTCACATTGCCTTCTGTGTCAAATCTCCCTCTGCCTCTTTCTTAGAAGGACACTGTGATTACCTTTAGGGCCTACTCAGATGATCCAGGATAATCTCTCTATCTCAAGATCCTTAACACATCTGCAGAGTCCCTCTTGCCACACAAAGTAATATTGATAGGGTCCAGGGATTAGGACTGGAACAGCTTTTGGGCTCAGCTCAGCACACTCACCGGGGAAGTAACTGTTGCAGAAGGACCAGTGAAAGGGGGGCGCAAACCACGTGGCTCTCTGGGGACGTATCTGGAGGTGGAGCATGCCTGGCATGGTTTCAGAACAAGGTGTCTGGATCAGACTGAGTGAGAAGGAGATGAGGCCAGAGACACGGTGGGCATGTCGGGGTGGCCAAGGATGACCCTAAGGTTTTTGGCCTAAACAACCAAAGTTGAAGTTGTCATTAAGCTGGGATAAGGAAGAGGCTTTGAGGGGAAGACCAGGAGCTGAGTCTTAGGGAAAATGTGAGATGCCTAACAGACATTCAAGTGATGATGTCGAGTAGGAAGTTGATTCTGGAGTTCAGGAGAGAGGTCTAAGCAGAAAGAGTAAAGTGGGAGTCATCAACATAGAAGGTGATCAAGGCCATGGGACCAGGTGACGTCACTCAGGGAGTGAGTGAGTGAGTGTGGAAAGAAAAGAGAAGGATCTACGGGCTGAACGCTGGGACCCTCCAGCATTTAGAGTCACGAGCATGAAAAGAAACTAGGCCAGGAGCAGCCAGTGCAGTAAGAAGAAAACCAGGGAATTGTGTCCTGGAAACCAAGGGAAGAATGTATTTCCAGGGAGGAGGGAGTGAACGGGAGGATGCAAATGACAGGTCTGAACTGAGAACTGAGTGGTGTATTAGCACCAAGGGGAGGGCCTTAGCGACCTGGTAAGTTTGTCAGTGGAGACATGGGGCAAAGGCTCATTGGAAGATGTTCCAGAGAGAATGGGAGAAGAGAAATTGGAGATAGCAGGTGTAGTCGGCTGAAGGGGAGCGGGGGGGGGAGGGGAACAGTGGGAAAGGGAGGGGGGACAAGAGGAAGTTGTTGGATGATGGTTGATATAATATGCGGAAGTCAACATTTTCCTACTGATGGATCAGATTTGGGGGGGGGGGGGTTTTTTTTTTTTTTTTTTTTGGCTGTACGCGGGCCTCTCACTGCTGTGGCCTCTCCCGTTGAGGAGCACAGGCCCCGGACTCGCAGGCTCAGCGGCCATGGCTCACGGGCCCAGCCGCTCCGCGGCATATGGGATCTTCCCGGACCAGGGCACGAACCCGTGTCCCCTGCATCGGCAGGCGGACTCTCAACCACTGCGCCACCAGGGAAGCCCCTGGGGGGAGGGGGATTTTGATGACGCAGGAGAGAAAAGGAAGAACTGTTGGTAGTGATGTTTTGAGTCGTTGAGCAGGGCTGACGTTGAGTGCACAGGGGAGAGGTTGGCCTTTGCTAAGGGCGTGGCCAGTTTATTAATAATACCAGGAGGGAAGCCAGAATAATGGTGCCAGAGCCAGATGGTGGGTAGATAAGAGCCTCGCTCTAACCCTGCGGATTTCAGGGGCCCAAGGATGCGTGGGAAAAAAGGAAATGGAGTCAGTGGATGTAGGCGAGGAGGAGAGAACCAGAGGAGAGCAAGCAAGCCAGAGGGGTTAAGAGGTTGAGAGTTTTAAGCATGAAACTCTTAAATATGATGACAAGGATCAAGTAAGGGGGAAGGCTAGGACATACAGAACAGATGGAGGTCCCAAGAAAGCAAGAGGGGGTGGGATTCAGACCACAACTAAGGAGTAGGAATGATCAATTGAGGTAGCCTGAAAACTTGAAAAATATATAATAAAAAGAGAAGGGGGGATGGGTGCTCTCACAGTCCTTCGTGTTGGATAGCTTCAAGTTTGGATTTTTCCTTCCCTTTGAGTCTCTTTTCTTGTCCTGGAGGGGCGTAAAGCAGGGAAAGACCTCGAAAGTAGTGCCTTGTGAAGGACAACGCCAGGGCCTTACCTAATGCCGGTTTTCCTGCGGGAGCCGGCAAATGGCTCAGACCCGCCGCCGGGATGCTCTTGGGAGACAATTCCACGTGGCGTTCTCAGCCTTGCCCACCAGATGGCAGCCTCGGCTCATGGTGGCGCTCACACCCGCCCACGCCCGTTTTCACTTAATTCAGAGTTTTTGAGATCTTGACCGTCATTGAGTTTAACCCTTTTCCTTCCTTTCCCCTTTCCCCTCTCAGATGTGTTCATTCTAAGTTTGCAAGCGGGGGGCAGGGGTGTGGTATGCACGCACGTACCTACTGGACCCACCGGGACAGGGTCCCCTGGGCAATAGAGAGAAACATAAACCCCTTTGCGAGGCTCAGTCGGATGGAGAACAGCAGGAAGAGAAGCCGGAGAAGAGACCGTCCAAGAAATCGGAGGTGACCTGGACAGGAAGGGATACGGAGGTTATTTAAGGGAGGGAAAGTCTCGAAAGAGGAGGGCGTGGGAAATCCGTAGAGGAGCGGACTGAGAACTGAGCCGGGGTGAGGGATTCGGCGAAAAAGTGACAGATGTGACAGTAGGTGTGACAGTAATTTATGCGGACCCGGAGGGTGGGGCCGGGGAGGGGCCGAGCAGGCGGAGCAGAGAAGGGACGGAGGTGCGAGGTGATGACCAGGGTGGCCTGCAGGCCCACTGAGGGCTTCCGAACGAAACGGCCCAAAGCCTGCTGGAAGAAAGACGAAACACCCTGAAGACAACGGGAAAATAAAACGGAAAGTTCCGGGGGAGAAGCATGGGGGGATGAGGTGCGAGTAATTAACACTGGGTCAATTTGGCCAAAGCTCCTAACCTAGGAAGAGCTGAGACCCCATCTTTTTGGGGGGGCTTAAACAATAGAAATTTATTTTTCCACAAATCCGGAAGCTAAAAGTCTGAGATCAAGGTGTCAGCGGGGTTGGTTTCTTCTGAGGTCTCTCTACTTGGCTTGTAGACGGCCGTCTTCTCTCTGTGCCTTCACGTGATCTTCCTCTGTGTACGCCTTGCGTTATATGAGATTCCATCTTGCTAGCAGGTTCGCTCTGGAGACTCTCCTTGCTGACTTGATGAAGTAAATGGCCTTACTGGCCCAGGAATTCCAGGTGCCATCTAGGAACTGAGGGCAGTCTCCAGTGGACAGCCAGCAAAAAGCCAAGGCCTCAGTCCTATAGCTCTCCGCGCCGGTTCCTCACGTCCCCCGGAGTAGCCAGAATGGGTTTGCGAGTTGCTGCGTCCACGTAGGTCCTGAGGCGGCAGCGGCCGCAGGGAATCAACCCGATGAAGCCAGGAAGCGGACAGAAGTCTTTTGGGAGAGCGCGCAGCGAGGCCTGGGGTGCCCGGCCGGAGAGGCCCTCGGGCGATGCCGGAGGGAGTCCAGCGCCCGCCCCGGGGCCTCGCCTGGCCTGCCGGTGGGGACGGGGACGGGGCACCCTCCCTTAAACCTTCCTGTAGCCCCAGAGCGCTCATCCCAGCTCCCCGCATTTAACTATAGCTTGAGAAATAAGTGGAAGAACGATCCTACAATGCTGGAAAGACTCCGAGTCACCTTTTTGTCCATGGTGATTTCTGGCTTTTTCTGTCGTGGGGTGTTTGCTGTAGCTACTACTCTGATAGCCTCTTAAGACCAGAATGCAATGTGTGTTACTTTAAGGCTTCTTATATTCTGGTTTTCTGGTTTCACGCTACGTTTTCTTTTCGTTTCCCTAGATGCCAGTGCCCAAGTCATTCTCATACTTACTCCCAAGGTAATAATACATTTTGTGTTTAGCCACAATTTCAGTTTCCACTGTTGGTAATACATTTGGGCAAAGTGTAAAGTAAGAGAATCAAGGCATGTGATAGGAAGATTGGTGAAAATTTTCACTTGAAATTGGTAGTATGAAGTTCTAATTATACTATCTCAGCTGAATGTATGCTACTGATTATGTTTTTGGCTCAAATATATATTTAATGCTATTTACAATGTCTTTCTATTTTAAACAGAATTATTTGCCAAAGCTAAAAGTGGTGACACAAATAGGATTTTAGGGTTGTCTGAGTTCATCAAACAGAATTAATCAAGATGAAATCTCTGAAAGGTTATAATACATCCCCAAAGAAGAGTCTGAAGAACAATGTGGTTCCCAGAAGGAAAAAAATTGCTTGGATCAATTTTTAAAATAACACTCTATTTCTTAATAATTAAAAATGACAAAAGTTTTCAGTTCCTACAAACATCTTCATTCTTACCAACTCCATTGTCCACAGAGCACTGGGCAGCTCATTGTAGCTTCAACGTGTCCTCAGAATGTCACATGAATTATACTGACACAAAAACAGATTTCACCTCTTAGGAGAAAAGGTCAAATCTAAACAGTGGTAAGGGATGGAAGGGAGGGGCCTGCCCACACAGGATCCTAAGCAGAAACTCACAAAGAAGCCTGTTGGGATTAGAACAGATAGAGTAACTGAGGGCTTTTTCCTGCCTAGAGAGTGACTCATCCTTCAGGACCAGCCAAGGGACCTCCCCCCACAAGTCATTAACAGCCATCCACTAAGCAGAAGCATGCCATGCCTTCCAGGCCCTCTTGGACACATGCAGAATTTTGTCTTCAGCTGATTTTCTGCAATTCTTAATTGGTTTCAACAAAGAATCAGTAATTTTCCTATTTGGGGCTATAAAATTAGTAATTTAGAGAAAGATAATCTCAGTGTTTTCTAGGATCCAATTTATGTCTTTTCCTAAATTTTAGTAACAGGAGTAATAGATTATTTCTTTAAAGCCTGTTGAGATCAAAGAAATTTGGATTATGATTAAGGATACCCTTGCCAAAGGTAGATTTTTGTCCCGTTGTGGTCTGTCTTGAAAAAAAAAAAAAAAAAAGGTAGTAAAAATTGTTCTGTAGACTTTTTTCAATCTTATGACTGGTCAAGACTGATAAAAATAAGTAGATGAAAACAAAGATAAAACCCACTAAGTAGAGGCCTCTTATTGTTCCAATATAACAGAAAATCATTTTTGCCATAACTAAACCTGATATTTTGTAAAGAAATATCAGTTTATAAAAATTTTTAAATTTCCCAAAGAAAACTAAATAGTTTACATGTATAAGCTTGAGAAATATAAATATCTCACTGTGATAAGTACCCCCCATAAAGAAAATCTTAATTTAAATAAATTATCACAGTTGCTATAAGAAGTGTAAGCAGGACTCCAATTAATGAATTTACTAATAGCTGTTCCCTAATAATAATTGAACTCTAGAGTCTAGAGGATTTTTTTCTAGTGGATTTTTACACATTATGTTTTCAAAAGTGTATTTTAAATTCAACGGAGAAAAGATTTTAAGTAACTTTATTTTCACACAATCTGCATCAAGCTAGCGTTACATTCTCTTAAAATGCAGGTTTTAATTTTAATCTAATAGGCAACAATGAAACCTGAAAAATGTATTTTAGGTAAGGCTTCAAGGGAAATGTTTATATTCACTGCTGAAAATCCAATTCGCTATCAAATGACAATATTTTTGCTCTGTTTTTGAGGCCTACTCTGATGCTAATTTTTACATTTCTAGCTCCTGGACTTTCACCTTCTGGGAAAACAACAGATTATGCCTTTGAGGTAGATTTAATCATTCTTTCTTTCTTTTATGAATGACTCGAAAGAAATACAATCAGAGTATTTTGCTAGTGCATTATTATCTCATCTGAAGTCTGTTATTAATAGATGTTCCCTAACATTATTTTATCAACACCTATTTAGCAAAGTACTTTGTCAGGATGATGGAATATAAACCTTCTGATAACACAAGTAATGTGTAGAATACTGTTTTCTGTACAGCCATTAAAATAGAGCAAATTCCCAGTTCTACGAACTCTCCAACTTGTATGATAAATCTTTAGTTTTGTAATTATAACAACCCCAAAAGAGGTGCAAGTAATCGGTTGAAGCAAGAATAACGGAACAGTTAATTCCGATGAATTTTTATCATACTGTAAGTACATAATTATTTGTATAAATCCCTGTCTCCTCCTAGTTCAGGGGTCATAAATTAAAATGTGACCAGAGGCCTGACAGTTAGTCATTCCAGGAGCAGGCTGGGGGAGGATGGTGCTGAGTTTGCTGAGAGCACAGGCCCATCTCAAGGGTGCAGCCTGCCCTCAGCCCCCTGTGATTGCAGCCACACTGGAATGCAGCCCGGTGCTGCCCGATTATTCAAGGGAGATAGAAATCCAGATGGTCACATTGCTTTTTATTTTTAATTAGATCATAAGAGTCATTATCGAAACCAAGAAAAAAAAAAGAGAAGAAGAAATTTAAACATAACATCGATCAAACATCGATCAAACAAAACATGTCTTCAGGCCAAAAGCGACCCATCATGCATTGGTATAAAAGCTCTTCTCTCAAAAAAAAAAAGCTCTTCTCTCAGCTGTAAACTTTATGAGGCCATGTTTCTCTTGTTCGTAGTTGTGTTACCAGAGCCTAGCACATGCCTGGAATATAGCAGACACTCAGTAGTGTTGGTTGGATGGGAGGATGGATGGATGGATGGATACACGCATGCAAGGGTGGTTGGATAGATGAATGGTTGGAGGAGGGAATGAAGGCACTAAAAATACACAAAGATAACAACATTTACATTGGAAAATAAGAAGATATTTGTTCATTTAAGTGTGGAGGCAAGAAGAGGCAAGCATTTCAAGTTGAGGGAACAATTGAGAGATTATGATATATTTGGGAAAAAATACATAATTCCAGTGTGACTGGAGCCAACGTTTGCTTAAAGAAGTACAATGAGTGTGAGGCCAGATGCGATGACCTAGAATGCCATGCTGGGGAATATATACTTTATTCTCTAGACAATGCGGAACCATTTCAGGGTTTTAGAAGTGAAATGACCAACTTTCTAAACACCCATCACCTAAATCTTTTTTTATTTTCAGATGGCTGTTTCAAATATTAGATATGGAGCAGGAGTTACAAAGGAAGTGGGCATGGCAAGTATTTAAGATTTCTACAGTCTTCTATAAACGTTACACTGATTTTATTTTATTTTATTTAGGCTTTCTTAAAAACATATTTATTTATTTTTATTTGGTTGTGCCGGGTCTTAGTTACAGCATAGGGGCTCCTTAGTTGTGGCATGCAAACTCTTAGTTGCAGCATGCATGTGGGATCTAGTTCCCTGACCAGGGATCAAACCCAGGCCCCCTGCATTGGGAGTGCGGAGCCTTATCCACTGCACCACCAGGGAAGTCCCTGTATATTTTAAAACAAGTACAAATTGACAGCAGTTGAGTCTTTTGTTTTGGACTCAATGTTAAGTTTGCCAGAAGTATCTAGTGTAATCAAACCTAACTTATACATTATTTTTGTTATTGTAGGACCTACAAAACATGGGTGCTAAAAATGTTTGTTTGATGACAGACAAGAACCTCTCCCAACTCCCTCCTGTACAGACAGTGATGGATTCCTTCGTGAAGAATGGCATAAACTTTAAGGTTTATGATAATGTGAGGGTGGAACCAACCGATAGAAGGTATTCTTTGATTGTCCTTAAATTTACTTTAAGCAGAAGTCAACACATACCAATGTTGATTGAAACTTGCCCCAGGCCTTATTTAATGGCTCGGCAATTTATTTCTGAAAAACCCGACATATGGCCTTTATTTTCCCTTCTCCAAGCTTCATGGAAGCTATTGAATTTGCCAGAAGGGGAGCTTTTGATGCCTACGTGGCCATGGGTGGCGGCTCCACCATAGACACCTGCAAAGCCGCTAATCTGTATGCATCCAGCCCTGACTCTGATTTCCTGGACTACGTCAATGCTCCCATTGGGAAGGGAAAGCCTGTGACTGTGCCTCTTAAGCCTCTGATTGCAGGTAAAGACTGTTTGTCTCTTTTATTTTGCAACTGGCAAAAGGCCTCAGGAAAGACACAAGCCAGTAATTTTGGGGTGTATGTTTTCCAAAGTTTCCTGATTTCTTCATTTCCATATAGTACCTTGTTTGGAGATTGAAACAGAGAGCAATTCATTCATGTTTAAAATTCTGATTTTCATTACTGCACAGACAGAAAAAATTTGGGTCACTAGTAGGAAAGTTTGCAGAGTTAAGCTATGAAGTCACTATGTGGAAGAGAAGGGAAGGTCATCGTCTATAGATTATTAGATCCTCCTGCACGCAGGTTTGACTTCTGAGCCTCTCTCGGTTTTGTCCCACTTTGCCAGCCACTGTGGAGTTTAAGGGGAACGTTCCCTTTTATTTTTCTGATGTTGACTCAACCCTTTCTTCCACCTAATGGCTCCTCAGCTGACCTGGGGCTTTGTCTCTGCCCTGGGACATGTGGCCAGCGTGGCCTCGTCACTCTGGGCGACACCTGCTCTGTGGCTGCCAGGGCACAGACACGCACATCCAAATTAGAATCGCTTGTCTGTTCCGCACAGACCTTGGGACCTTTCTGTCTTGTCTTCCCTCCCATTTTATGGCTGTCAGCATATCACTGTCTAAAGTCTTACATCTAAAATGTACTAGCTGGACAATATCAGGGTTTTTTTTTAAATTTAATTTAATTTATTTATTTTTATACCGCAGGTTCTTATTAGTTATCTATTTTATACATATTAATGTATACATGTCAATCCCAACCTCGCAATTCATCCCACCACACCCACCCCCAGGAAAATATCAGTGTAAAGTCTTGTCCTCTCTCTCCTCCCGCTCTCCTACTCCCACTGTGAACGGGTCCTGTGATGGGGCAGGAGTGAGTTGACAGCGGATGAACTGCTTTGACGTGAATGAGTGATCAGCAGGGGGCAGCATAATTGATGTCTGGCAAATGGAACCCTCTGGTGAAACTGTGTCAGCATCACACAGAGGGGTGATTAGTGAAGTTTAGAAACTTGACGGAACTACAAAACCGCAGAGTCCGGCAAAGGCAGAGTGTTACTGTTCTTGCTGCCAAGAGGGAATAAAGATGTCTTTTAGAGATGGCAAACACGAGTTTTCTTCCCCGAGATGCCCAGAGGCCTGCTTTTGAACTCCCAACTGCAGCTGCTTAAGCTCTGACGCTAGAGGAGCCCGAGGCTCCCAGAACTCCTCCCTGTCAATACAGAAACAGACGTCACACATACACGTTAAACACACATGTGTGTGATACAGACATGAACACCATGCATGCATATTAGGCATACATACATGTTAGTGCCAATACGGACATCAAACATACGTGCGAACACAGATACAGGCATCATGCCTACATATCAAGTGCGCGTACGTGTTAGGCTTACATGCATGTTAATGCAGACACAGACACCATACATGCCAAACATGCATGCGTACTGATGCAGGCACTGCCATCACACACATATGTTAAACACGGATGCTGGCATGTTAATGCCAACACAGGCATCAGACCTGTTACTCACATGTTAATGTAGACACAGTCATACACGTTAAGCATACATGCATGTTAATACAAATACAGACATCAGGTGAGCAAACAAGGGCAGCAAACTTTCTCCTCTAACCTTGCTCCTTATTTCCTAAGACTTAATTATCTCCACTGACCTTTATTTAGATGCTTTATTAAAACTGACATTTTTTTTTTGTTCAAGTCCCAACTACCTCAGGAACTGGGAGCGAAACTACTGGAGTTGCCATTTTTGACTACGAACGCTTGAAAGTAAAAACTGGTAAGAACTTTGCCCATAAAAAAATTTTTAAATTCTCTCTCTTACCTTTCAACTAACTCCACCACCCCCTTTTCTTTAACCCTAATATTTAAAATTCAAGGAGTTACAGAGTTAAGGAAAGGGTATGTACATAGACACATTTTCTTTCTTTTCCCACATACATATAAAAAATATGAAGCAGTCTAATAAACACGTTTTTGAGAATTACCTACAAAAGCTCATTGAAATGCCATGAATCTTAATTGGCCATTTTTCTGCCCAAGTTAGTGACTATAGATCAGTGATAAGTGGTTATTCCCTTTCTTAGACATCTTTTTTACATTCTAACTCAATTTCATTGAGGTGTAATTTTTATATAATAAAATGTATACATTTTAAGAGTCTAGTTTGATGAGTTTTGACAAATATATACCACAAGTACCCACCACCCCAGTCAAGATACAAAACATTCCCACTTCTCCAGAAAGTTCCCTCATGCTCCTTCCCAGTCAATCCCTCCAGCCCCATTCCCAAGTAACCACCATTCTGCTTTCTACCTTCTTTGTCATCTTTATCCTGTCTTCTTCTCTGACTCTCAGCTAATGTGGGGGAAATGTCCCTCTCCTTGAGTCTGGTTCAATATCCTTATTCCAGGCCTTCGTAGTGGAATAGATTGGCATTGAACTGCACATATATGGTAACTTCTCTTTTTAAATTACATTATCCTTTGACATTGTTAAATATAATAATGATAGAAACCAACACTTAAATACTACCTTAAATTTTTTTAAAGACTTCCCCGTCGTATTATCTACTGTGATCCTTACAACAGCTCCGGGAGGGATGGAGGCCCTGCGTTATTAGGGTCTAATCTTACAGAGAACTCAGAAAGGCCCAGACACGTACCAAAGACGTGCAGCAAATCACAGAGCAAGGACCCAAACCAGTGGTTTGCTAGTAAACCAGCTCTCCAGAATTTAATGAGTAAATAAGCCCTGAGAGCTTATTTACTTCCCTGGAGCTGGGAAGACATGGGTATAGTGGCTCGTGTAAACTGCAAGGGGCTTCGGCCACTGAAAAACCTGGTTTCTGACCCCAAATCTCTTCCCGCTAATCCTTTCTGCCTCCCTATATGAGAATGAATCTTATCTCATATTTTAATTTTTTTTAAAGGCTAATGAGATCTGGAGACTTATGGTATATATTTTTTAATTAATTAATTTATTTATTTATATTTGGCTGTGTTGGGTCTTCATTTCTATGCGAGGGCTTTCTCTAGTTGCGACAAGCGGGGGCCACTCTTCATCACGGTGCGCGGGCCTCTCACTATCGCAGCCTCTCTTGTTGCGGAGCACAGGCTCCAGACGCGCAGGCTCAGTAGTTGTGGCTCACGGGCCCAGCTGCTCCGCGGCATGTGGGATCCTCCCAGAGCAGGGCTCGAACCCGTGTCCCCTGCATTAGCAGGCAGATTCTCAACCACTGCGCCACCAGGGAAGCCCTCATATTTTAATTTTTTTAGGATAATTTGTTACCCTAAAGTTATTTAAATTTTAAAAAATTGTGTACGTACCTATAGCCTCTGTTGAAAATCCCTGCCTTAGGTATTGCTTCGCGAGCCATCAAACCTACACTGGGCCTGATCGATCCTCTGCACACCCTGTACATGCCTGAGCGGGTGATCGCCAACAGTGGCTTCGATGTGCTTTGGTAGGTACCCATGCCACCTGCAGGGGCTCTGCCGGTACTCGGTTGACGGACAGTATTTTACTGCTGAAAGCCCTTGTTAAGCACTCACTGATTGTGCGCCACAACAGTGCTGGCTTTGGCTGTCATTATCCCCTTTCCCGAGTGACAAAGCTAAGCTGTAAAGATGAGGCGAGGCCCTAGGTGAGCCACAAACCTGCTGTTTGGGATGGACCGGCCCAGCCACAGCTGCAGCCACGGGGACACAGGGAGGGAAGCAGCGGCAGCTGGCAGGCAGCATCTCAGACCCACAGCACTGCCTCTGCTGCACTAACCAGGGGATGCCAGGGCTGCAGCCTCAGGCACACAGCAGGGGCGGCAGCGCCCACCGCCGGAGCTGGAAGGGCTAGCTGTCGGCACGTCACACGCATCATCACTTCACCACAGCTCTGTGCCACACAGAAAAGAAAACTGGGCTGGAGGTGTTGAGCAGCTTGCCCAGGGTCACACCACGTGCTCCCCGGGCTTCATCTGCCATGTGCTGATGGCTCCCTCATCAGTGTTTCTGCCACAGGCCTCGCTCACGAGCTCTGGGCCCTGCGTTCCAGCGGCATCACGGGGACCCACGGGTACTCCACATTCACCTGGTCCAAAAGACCCTATTCCACCCATTTGCACATGCACATTTCTTCTCATTTTAACATCTCTGAAATCAAGGCATATCTGTATATCTGTGGCATGGCAGTATGGTTTTCTTCCTCAGTGGTACTTTTTTTTTTAATGGTGCATCTTATAAAGCATGGCATCTTGAAGTTGATGAAATCTTACAATTCTCTCAATCCCCCCACCCCTCACAGCTTCCCCTCCTGGGTCCCTGACCTTAGCGAGCAGCAGGACCCAGTATGGACTTCTCCCTCGCCGCGTGCCCACACCGAGCCACAGAGCCCCTCTCTTGTCCAACTCAATCTCTCCCATCTGCTCCCGCCTCAGCTCAGGCCTGCCCCAGCTCTTGCCTGGACAGTATCCAATCTCCTTATCAGTCTCCCTGCTTCCGTCCCACAGTCCTTCTGTCTGTCCTCCATACTGGCCTCAACAAGCTTCCAGAATGCAATATGACCACCGTGCATACACACGGGCATTTATACACACACACACACACACACACACACACACACACACACACCCCTCTACCTTACAAGTCTGTCATTGCCTTTCCACACCTACTGTCTGAAAGCCAAAGTCCCTGGAATGTCCCCAGTGCTGAGCACTTTATCTGCTTGGAGAACTCTTCTTTCACTTTCCACTGGAGCATTCTGTCATTGATGGAGCCTTTGCTGACCCTCCCCTCCCCTCCCCTCTCCTTAAGAACCACTCTGTCCTTTGCCCTTACCCACTGGGGGCCTGTGCATTGCTTCGGAGACACCGCTCTTCACACGCCAGTCTCCCTCACTGCACCGCGGGCTTGGCAAGGACAGGACCATCTCATGCACTTCTCCATCCCTACTCCTTGGCACAGAGACCGTCACATCATTGGTACTCAATTAACAACTGTCGAGTGAAGTTCACACAAGCAGGAGGCAGCAGAGTTAGGATTCACATCTAGGTCTACCCAAGTCCATGGTCTGCTTTTCTTACTGCATTACACTGCCCGCCAAGAGACTGGAGAAAACTGTGTCCAACTCCATCCTGGTCAATGTTGTCAGTACTCTGAAGAGTTGTCCTCTAATAACTTGGAAATAAGATTACGCTCCCTAGCTGTGAACTGCATAATAAACAGACTAAAGCAGTCATGTTTAAATGAATGACTCACAGACCCAAAGGCTTTGCTGTCAGTAAAAGCGGGGAGTGGGCTCAGAAGAAAGGAGAGTGATGGTAGTGGCCCTTCCAAGGACTGACCACGGGAGAGTGCACGTGGCCCGAGGGGTCTGCCCTTGAGGCCCAGCAGCCTGTTCTGAAGATGGACACACCCTTGTATTCAACCTTAGAGGCAGTTCCCCTCGTTAGGGCTCCATGGGCTTTCTGACCATAACTGGGCATCCACAGACTTGCCAATAGGGAGAATGGATACCTAGAAGACTCAGGTGTCTGTCCCCCTCAGCAGTTATATTTCTTGTTATAAATCAATAATCAGACTTCCAGGTTTTACACATAGTTTCTGTGAGCTCAGCTCAGTGAATCTGCCCCTTCAAGACAGATCTGATCTTGCGCCCAGAATCAAGATGCACAGCAGGGCAGAGGTTTAACTCTGCACCTTGGTGGAGTCATCAGCACCCCGTCCACCCCACGTGGACACCTCCTTCTTGCCTTGCCCAGATTTCCTGTTTAGAACCACAAACCCATAGCTTTTGTCCACCAACTAATTCTTTTTGAAGTTCTAATACTTTTTCAAAAGATGTTATCTGCTTCACACATGTAGAAGAAAGTAAATTCTCCGTTCTAAGACTGAAAACTATAACTCATGCACAAAGTAGTTCACGTTATACTGTGTTCCCAACAAATCGTTGATCTAGATGATTGCGTTTATTCTCATCTCCTGCAGTCGATTAGCTAGAATTCATGGCAGGCCAGTAGGTAAAGGAAGCTCTGATGCTTTATTCTTAAAACAGCCAACCCTGAATTTAGAGCATGTAAGAAGAAAGAATTCGATTTTTTGTTCAGGCCAAGAATTAATAATAATGGTGAATGATAAGTTTTACAAAGTGCTGGTACTTTACATATGTGAACTTAATTTTCACAGCAGCACCATGAAGAAAGACATACAATGATTTATCCTCATCTTAGAATCACAGGGAGGATGGTGACTCCCCTCAGGCCCACAGTGGGGAAGTCTGGTGCCAGAATTTACATCAGGGGGGCCGACCCACTGCACTGTACTCTTATAGGAGGCTAGTGTAACTGTGACCCTTCTTGGATGGGTAATATGGTGTTTGATCAATGCAAGGTATAAAATGGTAAATATACTTTAGAAGGAAGTCATTTTTCAGATTCAGTGCTTTTCTTGATGCCTTAAATGTTTAAAAAATTCAACATCATAAAGATATACTGGCACTAGAAAGGAACCATATGTAATCTTATACATACTGGTCAAAACCACTGTAGTGCCGTTAATGTCAACTTCACTGTGTTAATTGCCATAATAAGCAATGACTGTTGTGGACAAGAGGCTGATTAGTGAGATGAGCTGTGATTATCGGCACTACAGAGCATATCCACAGGGGGTGAGTGCCGAGCATTCTGAGACAGTTTGGGATCTGAATGGAGGAAAGGAGGAAAAGGATGCTTTCAACTGTGTGTTTTAAATATTCCTTGTTAGTCACGCCCTGGAGTCCTACACTGCCCTCCCGTACCACATGCGGAGCCCCTGCCCTGCAAATCCCATCACTCGGCCAGCCTACCAGGGCGGCAACCCCATCAGTGACATTTGGGCAGTCCACGCGCTGAGGATCGTTGCTAAGTACCTGAAGAGGTATGTCACCCGGAGGGGACGGAAACAGAACAGAAAAGCCACTTTCCACCTTCCCGTGAAATGTGGCGCACCAGATCCTGAAATGTCCTGAGCAAGCCCGCTCACCAAAAAAATCAGTCACTGTACGTACAGAAGCACCAGAGACCAGCAACCTCTGGAGGGAGCCCCATGAGGACAGATGAAAACTGGATCCTTTGATCTGAAAAGGCAAAGATCATGAGGGGACAGCATAGGAGCCCCTAATTTATGAAGGATGCAGGTAGAAGGTTTATTCATCAAAGCCTCAAAACCAAACCGGGGGGAGGGGAGATGTCCTTTGAGGTCTGGCTACCAAGGGCAGAAATGAGAACCACAGAGGAGACAGATGTTGGCCCTGCCCCATCAGGCCCTGTCCAGAGGCACACAGGGTGGACCCATGAGCAAACGCACATGAACTCAATTTAAGAAATAAATGTGTAGAGATGTCTGTCCTGGGAGATATGAAAGCCTTCCTGAAAAGATTCCTAAAAGGTTTGGAAAGATTTATGCATGAAATAGCCATAATAGACTCTTGAGAGAGAGCACAGATATACTTAGAGATGAAAACTGATCCCTGAGACATTAAGACTTCTGCGAAGTCGAACTCCCCTTTGTATTTATACACAGCGGAGGGCAAGAACGGGCAGGTTAGGACTAGATGTGAGCGTGGTGCCTCCCCCGGCCTGGAGGGGGAGGGGCCTAGGAGAGCGTTTTGCAGTGGAGGTAGGGGAGGGACACGGAACTGTCTCCAGCTCGGAGCCCAGCAGGGAGGATTTGTCTGGGTAGAAGCAGATGCAGATGATGGCCAGCCAGGTGTCTGACGGGGACACAAGGCTTGGCATGGCAGCTGTGGGAGGTGAGGGGGCAAAATGGACAGAAGAGAGGCTGAAGCTCCATCACCTGCTATCTCACCTTGTTATTTGGGAATAAGGAACAAACACTGGGTTTTGGAAAGAGACACAAGTGCCTAACTATTCCAGATGAAAGGAGGAAAAGGGCTGTGGCACTTTTATTTCATAGCAAGAACCCTTAATCCAGGCAGGATCACAAAAAACCACGCGGGAAGGGGTGCCCTTGGCTGTCTTAGGGTTCCTCCCTGGGGCAGGGTTTCCAAGCCCAGGAGCAGGAAGGCTTAGCTGCATCTGAAAGGGGCCTTTGAGAATTTGCTTTTCCAAAGTGGCACTGAGGAGGGATGGAGCAAGTGAAGGCTTGTCCTACAACAACATCCCACGTCCACAGTAATAAGTATGAAAATAACATGTGCGATTTCCACAGATACCAAAAGAGGTCTCCAGTGGGTCCGATTTGGGGCGGTATCACGGAGAGAAAGATGTCTGGGCGGCTCATTTGGCCAGTAAGTAGCCCCAGGCGACAGGGACTCACTTCAGCAAACCAGCCTGGGCCCTGGGCCTTCTGAGTATGTGTTTACTCTGAGTCCACTCACAGCCGCAGTCAAGGTCATTGACAAGTGAAGAAGAAGAATGAGTCTCAGGGCGCTTTTCTTGAGCAGCTTTCATAGTCCAAGGGTCAGTGCTTTCTTCCCCTGGCACTTTTATCCCATGAGCAGCCTGACAGCATATTTATTATGCCTTTGCTCAAACTGTTGATGAGAAAATATGTTTCACTTTGGTTTTCATCTAGAAGACAAGGTGTCATTTGAATAACTTGCCTAATTTTTCTTCCTATCGGGTAGCATTTCTTTTTTTTTCCAGATCTTTCCCTAAGGCGGCTCTTTATTCACTAGGAAATGCCTATGTAGATGTGTTATTGTTAGGTATTGATGTCATCCACAGGGCTGTCAGAAATCCTGACGATCTTGAAGCAAGGTCTAATATGCACTTGGCAAGTGCTTTTGCTGGCATTGGCTTTGGAAATGCTGGTGTTCATCTGTGGTGAGCAAATTTGAGATTTTATTTCTTCACCTAAGCTATTGCCCTTAAATTTTTAAAATGTTTATAATTTAGGACATGTGGTCAGATTTTAAATATGCTATAGAAAGAAGATATTTAACTTTGTGTCCCATAATATTTTCTTAATTCAAATGCAGCTTATCGGGTCATAGATTTTTTTTTCTTTTTGGTAACAGCTTTTTTGAGCTATTAATTATTCACATACTATATAATTCACCCATTTAAAACTTTCAGTGGTTTTTAGTCTATTCACAAAGTTGTGCTACCATTACCACGATAAATTTAGAACACTTTATCACCTTAAAAAGAAATCCTGTACCCCTTAGCTGTCGCCCACCAATCCTCCTATACCCCCAGGTCTTAAACAACTACTAATCTACTTTCTGTCTCTATGGATTTGCAAATTCCAGACATTTCATATAAATGGAATCATATAATATGTGATCTTTTGTGCCTGGCTTCTTTCGCTTAGCATCATGTTTCCGTGGTTCATCCCATGCACATATTAGTACTTCTTTCCTTTTTACTGCCAAGCAATTTTCTATTGCACCGATATACCACATTTTATTTATTCATTCATCACATGAGGGACATTTGTGTTGTGTCCACTTCTTTGGCTACTATGAATATTGCTGCTTGAATAGTCATGTACAAGTCTACCTGGTGGACATATGTTTTTATTTCTCTTGAGTATATACCTAGGAGTGGAATTGCTGGGTCATATGGTAACTCTGTTTAAATTCTGAGGCACCGCCAGGCTGTTTTCCACAGTGGCTGCACCGTTTTCCCTTCCCACCAACAGTGGATGAGGGTTCTGATTTCTCCACATCTTCATCATGTGTCATGGGTTTTTAAAATGTCAGACGCAGGATTTTTTTTCTCCTGATCTCTCTCAAAAAGAAGGGGATTAGAATATTTGTCAATAGCCAGAATTAGTCTTTTGATCAGAACTTTATTGGTATGTTGCCTTAAACTTGAAAACCAGTGAACACAGAGAATTAAGAATTGGCCTTTGCTAGGGGAGCGCAATGAAATGTTCACCCTCAAACTCTGCTGCTGAGAGGAGCATAGACGGGTACCACCTTTCTAAGAAGCAACTGAACAAAACCTGCCCAGAGCTTGGAAAATGTTTATACCCTTTGCCCCACTGATGTTACTTCTAGAAATGTAGCCTAAAGAAATAATCATGATATGGTCAAAGAATATCCTTATAAGGATATTCACCTAAAAGTTATTTATAACTGAAACTTTTAGGAACAACCTAAATTCCCAACAGTTTAGTACTCAAAGAATAAAATATCTATTAAAATAATATTTTAGAAGAATAGAAAATGATATGGGGAAATGTTTATAAAGAATATTAAGTAACAAAAGCAATGTCAAAAACAGTGCACAATACGATCATAAGCGTATGCGTAAGAAGACTAGAAGGAAATATTCTATAATGGCTATCTTGAGAAAATAGGATTATGGATCATTTTTCTTTTTTACAAAGAATATATATAACTGTTAAAATAAAAGAAATCAAACTAAAATATTGGCTATTGTTAGAAAGGTATTTTGAAAGTTACATGAACCCTTTCACATCACGGAAGCATGCTAAGCGATATTTTTCTGAATACTATGAAGCCCAAAAACAGTAAAGCACGTCCCTAAGTATCCAACAACTCAGAGAACCGATAGCTTCTGATCTGCCTCATGAGAGATGACAGGCATGGGGCACCTTTTTTTGGATAATCATACAATTCACCAAAATACTTCATCTGTCTATGAAATGTAAATCTTTTAGCAAATAAAAACAAAGTCATCCAATAACCCACATTAGTAGACTTACAGACCATTTTACTATTGTAAAACATTTCATTTTCAATATATTAACTGTACATATATTAACTTGTCACAACGTGTATCTTCTGGGTCATCTAGTAAATTATCATATTGTCCTATTTGTTCCCTAACAATTCGAGAGGATAAAGAGTTTTCCCATTAAAACCAACCAAAAAGTCCCCACAAATAAAAACGAAAATGCCTTTTCTGGATAGCCTTTCAGGCTGAAACAATCACGTATGATTCAACTCCCATTAGTACGTAGCACTTAAAAGAAGGTATCAATCATTGGCAAGACAGATCACTGGCGGAACAAGCTTGCATGTCTAGTGCAGTACATCTTGGCTCATAAAATTCCCACCGACATCTTCAGTTTGTGAAGGAACACACTGCCAAGGCAGTGCAGAGCCAGATAGAAAATGCATACCCTGAAGACTATTAAAGAAACTTCAAAGTGAATTCTTGATTTCTTCAAGATCATAAGCTTAACCAATGTGCTTGGCCAGCAACTTAAGCATCAATACTTTTTAACGGCATACAATTCTGTGAGCATTTGAATTTTAACATTTCAGAAGTTTTGTGAATGAAAGCACCAAATATCAACTGCATAATAATGTATCCTCATAGCAATCAAAGAAAACAGAATGTCTAACTTTGTGGGTTAACAATATTGTCAAGAGACTGTGAAGGGCTCTCGCATAGAGTATTGTTAACTTGAATTTCTGATATCTGTATGTCAACATATGGACTTTCTTTCTTTTCTAGCCATGGAATGTCTTACCCAATTTCAGGCTTAGTGAAGACATATAAAGCAAAGGATTATAATGTGGATCACCCACTGGTGGTAAAATCATAATCAATTCTTTAATTTCGTCTTAGACTCCTCTCAATTGCCATAAACGTATTTGTCAATTCTTGATTGCTTGGAGTACAAGGTAAAGTAATTTAATATCTAGAATATGCATGTTGAAGACTGGCTTTGCCACGTCGGTCACCATGTTTCCTTTCTCCCCAGCCCCATGGCCTTTCTGTGGTACTCACCTCCCCAGCAGTGTTCACTTTCACGGCACAGATGTCTCCCGAGCACCACCTGGAGATGGCAGAGATATTGGGTATGAACCGTCAGTCATAAATCTGTGACCCACATATGTGGAGCATTTCCTAGGATGCTTCTGAAGATAAACCGTAAAGAATAATACCAAAAAATACTGCTTGGGATAAGTTAATAATAAAATGTCAGTGACCTGCTCAAATTCCTATCTAGCACTAAAATTCTGTAATTTTGTGTTTCTAAGAGTCTATTAGCAATGAAATGGAACAAAGTACTGCTTACATTAAGTTTACAGTAATAATATTTCCACTGTTTTCGTCCCCAAGGAAAGTGAAACTGTTTATATACTATTCATGTTATATATGGTTTTTGTTTTGTTTAATAGGAACTAAAAATGAATCTAAATCAGGAAGTAACAGTAAGTTCCCAGTTATAGAGAACCTAAACAACTAGAAACTTTACAAAAAGTTCCCCAAAGAAGAATTTGTTTGCTTTTTTTTAGGATAAATAATGTCTATAATAATATACCCACAGTGCCTTTTAAATCTTACAAGAAATACAGTTACATTTAGGGCCGCTTTAGTGTTAAGTAAAATATTGGTATTTTTCTAATATAAAAATTCTTTTAAGGAAACTTAAGTATTCAATTAACTTTTAAAACATCTCTTCCCCTACTTGTTTTAGAAAGGGAAAAGCTAAAAAGAAAACTGCATTATGCTCCTCTAGCTCGAGCCGTTGGAGAGAGTAGTTCCAAGAAGGTAGGAATGACACAGATATCCTTCCGACTGTGTTGCTTCACCTCCACCTCCCACTGCTAGGTTTCCCGGCATGTACGGCCAGAAACATGGTGCCTACTTTTCCAAGGATCTTGTACCCCTTTTCCGTTTTGGACTGGGGATATTGTTCAGCTCTATGTTGGGACTCAGACCCTTCGTAAATATGTAAACAGGCAGGAGCCCAAACAGTAGGCTAGATGTATGGTAAACGGGAAAACTTTAGAGAGCCTAAACCTAACATTCCAGGCCACCAAAAAAACCACTGAGAAAGCAAGGCCTCTATTAGACAAAACCCAGGCCAGAGGAACTACCGGTACTTTCCTCCTGCATAGGAATTTTTGGTTAATATTTTTCCATATTTAGCCATTAAATATTTTTGTTTTAATTTTTACTGAAGTATAGTTGATTTACAATGTTGTGTTAGTTTCAGGTGTACAGCAAAGTGAATCAGTTATACATATACATATATCCACTCTTTTTTAGATTCTTTTCTCATTTAGGTCATTACAGAGTATTGAGTAGAGTTCCCTGTGCTATATAGTAGGTCCTTATTAGTTATCCATTTTATATATAGTAGTGTGTATATGTCAGTCCCAATCTCCCAATTTATCCCTCCCCCCACTTCCCACCTGGTAACCATAAGTTTGTTTTCTACATCTGTAACTCCATTTCTGTTTTGTAGCTCATTTGTGCCCTTTTTTTAGATTCCGCATATAAGTGATATCATATGATATTTGTCTTTCTCTATCTGACTTACTTCACTCAGTATGACAATCTCTAGGTCCATCCAAGTTGCTGCAAATGGCATTAAATATTTTGATTCCCTATGTAATCTTAGATTGTCTTAGCTTTATACCAATGTATTCTCTTTCCTACCTTCTCTTTTTTTCTAAAACACTTCATAGGAAAACCTGGAGCTTTGGATGGCAGCAATCCCGGGAACATAAGAACCTCATAAACCCCGTATCATGTGTCACCCTCCACTTAATCCATATTTGAGCTGCCGCTGTGTAATACAGACTGGCCTTGTCGGGCAAGTTTTACCTTCCATCCAGCTGCTCTCCCAACTAGCTCTGTATCTGGTTCTATTTATACCTTTTCCTGGATAACATAAACAGGTCGCTGTCAGAGAACAGAAAGGCTAAAACTGATTTAATAAGATACTTCAGTATGGAGTGAACCATACCTTCTAGTCTCTTTTTGACCTATACAGAGAAAGTGGACTTGGACTACAGCATGAGGCATTTTGGATAATAAATAAATAATGCTACCTTCTGACTGCGGCACGTCCCGGCGATGAATGTGTCCAACCAGAATAGATGGGGCCGTGGGGCGTGGGTGCTAAGGGTTTAGGATTGATTCCCTTCATCTGGGAACTTTCACTGCCACCCTACCTGAGGGCAGAACCCCCTTGCTCTTCCAGATTGACATCTCTATGCTTTTGTGTATTAATTAGTAATTATGTCCAAATTCTGCCCTTACGAATCTCCAACCCCTGGCAACCTTCTTCCTCATTCACCGATATCATTATTATCTACATGTTAAATACTGCTTTCTAAGAGTCTCCTTATTCTTAATTCTGCCTGACAGGTTGTATAATATACATTTAGAGGGACCTGCCCTTTGGCAACAGGGTCCAAAAAAGTTTTCTAGCTAGAGAGAGGAAATATACTCCTTCCCTGGCCACACCTAATCCATTTTTGTCATTTTCCTCCTTTTTGGCAGTTAATGTTGGAGTTTTTTGAACTTCTGTAGATCCTTGTCTCACAAGGTGTTTGCAAAGGGTTTGTCTTCTCCTAAGCTATCGCCTTGAGAAAGGACATTGAATGTGTAGACCTCTAGATGTCAGCAAATTCCAAGCCTTGAAAGTTACATAAGCTGTGTTTTCTCCTACAGATGCTCATTCCTCCTCATCCAAACACCAGCCTTCTTTCTTGGTCTCCTTCCTGTGCCTCTTTTCTGGGCCGTTTCTCTTCTTCCCACCACACAGAGGGCGAGCAGCCCACTGGAAATGTGAGAGCCAAGTTAGCGCCCCCTCCTCCCCGCTCTCCGACTTCTCTATGGAGGCTCTGGGGGCTCCCAGGATGGCCTGTCTTCTGCGGGGCTGACAGCTGAGCCGGCGTCCCGGCTGGGGGCACAGCGGTGCCCTTGTCCTCAGTGTGAGGGGCCGGCAGCAGGTTATGTATTCAGCTACCCTGTGACTGAATCACACCCAGGGCCAGCTTCCTCCCCTCTACAGTCAGTGCTTTGTGTCTTCCAGGAGCCGACACCCGCACTGCCAGGATCCCAGATGCTGGGCCTGTTTTGGCAGACACGCTGCGGAAATTCTTATTCGATCTGGATGTGGATGATGGCCTAGCTGCCATTGGCTACTCCAAGGCCGACATCCCTGCATTAGTGAAAGGAACACTGCCCCAGGTAAGAGACGCAGCCCATCCTCACTGCCTTCTAAGAAGCACCAGGCTCCAGGGGAGACACGGTCCATTTGGGGCATCTTAGGGAAGGAGATGACAACCCAGGTCTCTCCCCACCAGGCAGCAGCTCTCCCCTTCCCCAGGGGGAAGGGGCCAAGGCTCCCTCGCCTTTATATTCTTCCATTAAACTGTGGCTTACGTGAAGCTTTGACGATGTAATGAAAGGATCCTTTATAAAAATTTAAGGCAAAAACAACCAAGTTTATCTTGAGTATAGCAGAATTTCCCTTTTCTCCATTTCTGCTCTTTTAAGAGTCCCCTATAAAACTATGTGAAGCTATTCCAAAAGGGCCACTAATATTATTTTCCATTATAAAGAGTTACAAATTCTACTATTTTGTGAAGAATAGACATGGCTTTTAAATTAAGATGATTACAAAATCACTTTTTAAACATATTTGGGAGATTATATATTTTATACATATACATATGTATACTTATTTGTGTCACTTTGAGTCTTATTTCATTTATTTATATGCTCCTAAAGAATTTAAACTGAAAAAGAAAAGAATTTAAACTGAGCAGCTATTATTTATATGGTAGAATTATAATAGATGTAAAGTTTCCCCTCTCAAGGTTCTCATGAAAAGAGTTTATCCCCCATTGGACCTCTCTTCCATTTAGGATCAGATACCCTTGTGTTATAGCACCAGAGCCTAACAGGCCAAGACGCTGTTTGTTGTAATTCACCATAAAACAGAGAGCTCAGAGCCAAGAGATGACACCATGCTCACCAGGCCCAGAGCGCTCACTAAGTCCTCCTGTCCAAAATGCGAAAGGCAGGCTTCCCTGGTGGCGCAGTGGTTGGGAGTCCGCCTGCCGATGCAGGGGACACGGGTTCGTGCCCTGGTCCGGGAGGATCCCGCATGCCACGTAGCGGCTGGGCCCACGGGCCATGGCCGCTGGGCCTGCGCATCCGGAGCCTGTGCTCCGCAGCGGGAGAAGCCACAACAGTGAGAGGCCTGCGTACCGCAAAAAAAAAAAAAAAAATGCGAAAGGCAAGGGTCACTTAAACACCATGAGGATATTCGGAAAAGACAAAAATTCTAATTTGAAAAGATACGTGCAATGCTCATAGCAGCATTATTCACAATAGCCAAGACATGGAAGCAACCCAAGTGCCCATCAACAGATGACTGGCTTAGGAAGATGTGGCATATATACAATGGAATATTACTCAGCCATAAAAAAGAATGAAATATTGTATTTGCAGCAATGTGGATGGACCTAGAGAATATCATACTAAGTGAAGTAAGACAAAGAAAGACAGATATATGATATCACTTATATGTGGAATCTAGAAAACATTACAAATGAGTCTATATACAAAACAGAAATAGACTCAGACATAGAAAACAAACTTATGGTTACCAAAGGGGAAAGGGAAAGGGGGAGGGATAAATTAGGAGTTTGGGATTAACAGATACTAACTACTCTATATAAAACAGATAAGCAACAGGGATTTACTGTAGAGCACAGGAAACTATATTCAATATCTTGTAATAACCTATAATGGAAAATTATCTGAAAAAAGTACATATATATAACTGAATCACTGCTATACACCTGAAACTAACACAATATTGTAAATCAACTATACTTTTTAAAAATTTATTTATTTGGCTGCGTTGGGTCTTTGTTGCTGCACGTGGGCTTTCTCGAGTTGCGGCAAGTGGGGGCTACTCTTCATTGCGGTGCGCGGGCTTCTCATTGTGGTGGCCTCTCTTGTTGCAGAACACGGGCTCTAGAGCGCAGGCTCAGTAGTTGTGGTGCATGGGCTCAGCAGTTGTAGGGCACGGGCTTAGTTGCTCCACGGCACGTGGGATCTTCCTGGACCAGGGCTCGAACCCGTGTCCCCTGCACTGGCAGGCAGATTCTTAACCACTACTCCACCAGGGAAGCCCTATACTTCTATTTAAAAAACAACAACAACAAACAAACACTATGAGGATAAGGCAGTTCTCCCCAAAATTAAGGCATCCATGTATCTATCCCTGACGTTGGAACAGAGTTAACAGCTAGAATATCCACTCACACAGCATCCTGCTTACCTCAAGTGGCAGTGCTTTTCCCTCAGCCCACTTCAGTTAAGCAAAGGCCTCAAACTGGCTTCTTCCCTACTTAGCAAGTACTTAGAATGTTGAAAACCTCACCACGCACATAAGATAATATTTGTGTGGATTGGATTCACAGACTTATCTGTCCATAGGAGCAAGGTAAATAATAGCAATGAACAAAGTAATTTAAGGCACTAGGGAATGGTGGGGACTTTGGTGAACTGGAAAGCACATGACCCATCTCATTGGGTGAGCAGCTTTTCAGCTACAATTTATTATCACCGAGCATAAATTCAGTTCCCAGTGTTGGTAGAACTTGGATTTTTAAGAAAAATCAGCAATTGGGATGTTTGTGTTGAATTCCCTGATTTCCCAATGTACAAACAAAACATGGCCCATGGGCCATGAGTTTCCCTGATTTAGGGTCAGGCCCAGTGGGCTCAGTTGCATCCAAAAATATAAATGAATGAGAAAAAGAGGAGTCTCAAAGTATAGCAGAGACACTAGTTCTAACCCACAGTCCTAACCTGTAAGTCGAAGGGACTAAATAAAAACTATGACCATCACAATCGTTTTTTCAAAACCTATTAAAGTTCCATGAAGGTAGGAGCCTGTCTGTTTTGCTCATCTATCTTCTATAGCACCTAACCCGGGCTAATGAACATTTAAAGGAGCACATTCCTGCAACCCTCTCCTCTTAAATCTTCTGTCCTTGTTTTTGAGCAATTTCCTTAGACTTAATAGGACTCAGCCAATAAAAAGGAGCCATGAAAGCCTGTCCAGGAATACCAGAGACCAAGCGGTCACCACGATTTTGATGTAGCCTCTGGCTCTTATAGCATGGTCCCAGCAAGAGTGTCCACTCTTCAGGGGGTCCTCTGAAAAGTTCTGCTTGTTTATCCCAGGAAAATGTTGAGGCAGATGTGTTTATCAACCTCCGAGAATGGTATTCATGAGTTTCAGATAAAACTGGATGATATTCTTGGCCATTTAATTGCTGTGGCAATGCATCTTCCAGCCATCAGCACACACTGGCAGGTGTGGACGGTTTTAATTCTACTGTACCCAGGCTTCCACTTTCAAAAGCTGTTCCAAACAGCAACAGATCCAGACTGACACTTGAGACCATCCTCTAAAATAGCAAGTTAATTAGGTATCATTCTGAATGCCTCAGTGCACATGTCATACTGGGAAATCACAGATAGCAGAACCTTAATTAGACAAAACTAATTTCTTAGTTTCACAAAGGATGCAAGGTAAATTGAATCTTTCTAATACAAGTCATGTCTATAAAGTAGGAAACCAGGATTTCCTCAAGCTATGTTCATAAAGCAGCCCCAAGGTGGATGCTGCCTTTTTTTCCTTTGATCATGTTTTCACGATTAGGAGAAACACAGTTAATTTTAATTCACTGGCACTAGTTCAGTTTTGAATTCAATATGACAGATTTATATGCATATGTGGGGAAGGGGGGAATATTCATAGGACTTTAGAAGGCATATTGGAAATAAGCTTGTCTGTTTTGCAGTTGAACTACTGTTGGGTTTTTGTTTAGTTTTTTTTTAGTGAACATTTTACAGGAATGCTATGGCAACTTCAGAATTTTACACATGCAGCAGACAAATCTTCACTTATTAGTATTACAGGATTTAAGGTAGTGAGAGGGATATACCCTTCCTGCAAAGAACATCACCAGAAAGGATATTTCATGCAGTCAACATCTGATAAAGCTTCTTTTATGTTCAGCAAAGAGGGATCGGTTTTCTCTGGAACAACCAGGCCAGTATTCTTAACCAAACACCACAGCCCATACTGGTGGCAGCAAATAGCAGCCCTGTGTACAGAGGTTTCCAACTGCCATAGCCGGGCTGCTCGGGGAGCAGGCACGAATAAATTAATCTTCCAAGCTGGATTTCTGAAACCTCTGGAAAGAAATTACATTTCCCATCAAAACATTTCATTACTGAGGAGAGCTGTCTACCAAAATGAGCACTTCCACTCCCTGGCAGACAGGCCTGCTAAAATGTTATTTTATGAATGTGCTAAAAGTAGTAGTCTGAATTTATTTCACTGCCCATGTTAATCAGTTGTCCTTCGGTCTTATGTGTCTATAAATAATAGCAGTGCGGAACACATCTGAATCCTGAGAGGTTGGCTTTTATATGGCACAAGTGATACATGCAAGGGTATATCTCAAACTTTACGTCCTTGCCCCTGTTGAACCAATCGTTGGGGGGTTAGAAATGTGAAAGAGAAACTCACCTCAGCTTGGCCTGAGCTGAGAGTCCTGAACTACTTCATGCAAGATGAACAGGGTTGTTTTAAAGGCGCTTGAGCTCATCAAATAAGACGCTCTGCCATTATCAACAGAATAATGTGGCAACTTGGGCCATAGCAAATACCGAACTTCTGTTCTGCACCCTGCCACAAACGTGTGCATAAGTCACCGTGAACAAGTCTCTGCCTTGCTATGGATTTTCAGAATTCTTTAGGGTCTGTGCTGGGATATGAAGCTTTACCTTGGCTTCACCCATCCTCTTCAGCATTGTGCCCCCATCCTTCTCCCATCTGTCCATCCATTCTTTTTTTTTAAATTGTGGTAAAACATACCAGACATAAAATTTACTATTTTAATCATTTTTAAGTGTACAACTCAGTGCCATTAAGTACATTTTACAGGGTTGTGCAACCATAATCACTATTCATTTTCAGAACTTTTAAATCATCCCCAAAAGAAGCCCTGCTCTATTGCTAAATGGTAAACAGCAACTCCCCACTCTCCTCTTCCCCCAGCCTCTGGTAACCTCTGTTCCACTTTCTATCACTGTGACTTTGCCTATTCTAGGTACTTCATGTAAGTGGAATCATACAATATTTGTCCTTTTGTGTCTTCACTTAGCATAATGTCCTAAATGTGTCAGAATTTCATTCCTTATTATGGCTGAATAACATTGCATTGTATGGAAAGGCCACATTTTGTTCATCCATTCATCTGCAGATGGACACTTGGGTTGGTTCCACCCTTTGGCTATTGTGAATAGTGCTGCTGTGAACATCAATGAACAAGTATCTGTTTTAGTCCTTGCTTTCATTTCATTGGGGTGTATACCTAAGGAATAGAATTGTTGGATCACAGGGTAGTTCTGTGTTTAACTTTTTGACAAACTATCAAACTATTCTCCATAGTGGCTGCATCATTTTACATTCCCACCAACAATGCACGAGGGTTCCAATTTCTCCACATCTTCACCAACACTTGTTATTTTCCATTTTGGGGATAGCCATTCTAATAGGTACGAAGTGGTAACTCGTGGTTTTAACTTGCACTTTCCTAAGGACTAATGACATTGAGCATCTTTTCACATGCTTATTAGCTATTTATATATCTTTTTTGAAGAAACATCTATTCACGTCCTTTGCCTATTTTTGAGTTGAGTTGCTTGGGGTTTTTTGTTATTTAGTTGTAGCAATTATATGTATACTTTGGATATTAATCCCTTATCAGATATATGATTTGCAAATATTTTCTCCCATTCTGAGTTGTCTTTTCACTCTCTTAGTAGTGTTCCTTGATGCATAAAAGTTTTAAACTTTGAGGTAGTCCAGTTTATCTATTTTTTCTTTTGTTGCCTGTGTTCTGGTGTCATATCCAAGAAATCATTGCCAAACCCAAAGTCATGAATATGTCCCCATTTTCTTCTAAGAGTTTTAAGGTTTTAGCTCTTACATTTAGGTGTGTTTAAAGTTAATTTTTGTATACATCCTTCCTTCTTTTTATTCTTCCTTTTACCTGACAAATACTTATTGATGTCTTACTATATACCATGAATTGTATGTGATACAGTTTAGAAAATAAAGTCCCTTCCCTCCCTTGTGGCGCTTACCTTCCAGTGAGGAAGACAGACAGTGGTCATCTAATCAAATCTACAAAGAAGACACAAATGAAATCATGCCAGATAATGATTAGCGGTCTGAAGGAAACCTGGGTAATGGGACAGTGATTTCACATGGGACAGTGTGGTGGGAACTCCAGCGAGTGTGGTCAGAGAAGGCCTCTGATTGGAGGTGGAGTCAGCCAGGTGAAGATCTGGGAGAAGCATTCCAAGCAGAGCGGAAAGGCCCTGAGATAGGGTGAAGATTCACATTTTCATGGGACTGAAGGGGGACCAGGGGGTCTAAGTGAGATGAGCGGGTGGGAGAAGAGTTAGAGCGGGGGTTAGAGGACATGGTTTTGTTCTAACTGCAGTGGGACGTCATCAGAGGGTGTTAAGCAAGGGAACGGTGTGATCAAACTTGCAATGCGGAAAAATCACTCTGGCTGCTATGGGGAGAATGATGGGGGAGTCGGAGTCCTATCTCGTATGTGTGAATCTTGAGATGCCAATATCCCCCCTCCCGTCATCTTTATTAATCCAACCAGTAACTACTGAGCACCTGTTTGCCACGTGGGGCGCTGGGCACAGCCCTGCCCCATGGAGCTTCGCTCTCCTACCAAGTGTTGTCCCACACAGGTGCTCATCACAGATAACGGACCCAGAGACCCACAAACATGCAACCAAAACACTGGCACGTTTCTTAATTTCATTTAGGCCTGGAAATTTGGGGATTAAGGAGCCACTGACGGGAGTGTCAATAGCAGTAGGAGGTGCTGGTGTCTTTGCTGACTTGACTCAATAATCGCTGGAGAAAGTAAGGAAATCACTGAATTCATTTGGGAAGGTAGAGCTAAAACCTTAATTTTTTTTTTTAAAAGAGTCACTTGCTGCCCATAGCCTGAAAGTTAATGTCCTAGTGAAGTCCTTTTTAATATACATGAAGTCCAAGTTGCAAAATATACGGTCTTTGAAGCCAAGGATGACCCCGTTCTGTCTTGCCTGGCTGCACACATGCCTGGGACAGTGCCCTCCACACAGGGAGAGCCTGGCAGGGGCACCAGACTGGCGTGGTTTGGTCATTGTAGGAGGTGTTTTCCTGAGGTTGGTTTGGTTCTGTACATTTGAGCAGAAGGCTATTCTCAGGACCTCAGGCAAGAGGAATGGCTTTGAAAACTTCTCAGGAAAGAGGCATCACTTGATAAACTTCTGAGCTGGGAATCAGCTAGTAAGAAGCAAACAAGAAATACGATTTTTAAAGCTATGACTATTGTCAAGTCACTGTTTCTCATGACTGAGTTAATTTACATACCTCGTAGCTTTTACAAGCTGTCTTTGCAAAGCCCTGAGTAATTCTTTCTGTTTACTGTTTCAGGAAAGGGTCACCAAGCTTGCACCACGCCCTCAGTCAGAAGAGGATCTGTCTGCTCTGTTTGAAGCGTCAATGAAACTGTATTAATTTTCATTTTCACTGAAAGAATTACCATTGGCCATCGTAATTCTGAAAACAGAAGTTGATCTAGCAAGAGCTTTGTCTTTTCACCTCCACAGATAACATCCCTGTTACCAGCTTGAATGTGATATAATTTTATCCTGTAGAAGATTCCCTGATGCTCCAAGTCCAGCTACTTCCATAGAACACACTGGACAAATGCCCACCATGCTGGACCCTCAGCCAGACTTTAGAGGTCCATGTTCCTGCCCCAAACCCTGCAGACTACCCCTGCTCCATGTATCAAAAGGGCAAACACTCAGTATCTACCAAAAATATTAATGTGTGTTATCCTATGCCCGGTAATCAATCCCACATCTAGAAATTTATCCTATAAAATACTACCACAAGTGTGTAAAAAAATATGGCAAGGATGTTTCTGGCAGCGCATTTTCTAACAATAAAAAATTTGAAAGAACTTAAGTATTCATTAATATATGGATAAATAAATCATAGTATATTAAATAATGGAATGCTTTTGTGCTACTAATGAGAATAACTCTACTAGAAATACATCCATGATAAACTGCTAAGTGAAAAAGAGTAAGTAGCAGGACAGTTATATATTAATATGGTCTGATTTTTACTTTTTAAATTATATATAAATATATGTCTATATATATATATCTAGAAAGAACGTTACACATCAAACTTAAAAGGGATCACTGAAGAAATGGAATTTGGAGGATAGAGAGTTAAGAGAAAATGTTTATATTTTATACTTTCACTTTTTATTTTACAAACATCTGTATTGTTTGCATTTGTTAAAATAAGCACATATTTTCTAATTCTAAAAGAGGAAGAGAAAAGAAAGAAAAATATCACTTTGCTGTTTTAGGTCAGACTCATTAAACTACTAGTAACTAATATTTAAAAGGTAAAAACAAATCCAAAGGGGTAAGATATTAGAGATGGATCCTCTGGTGGAGCAATTGTTCTTTTGAGAAAAACACAAACAACCTACATGGTAATTCCCTCTTTGGAAAATGGTTCTGGTGCTCAGAATAAATTAATTCAAAAGCAAGCCGTTTTGCGGTTTACAGACTTCAGGACGCAAGTCGAATCCTGGTAGCTGGGTCATCTGCCTCCTGTTATTCCCAGCCTGCTGAAACGTCTAGGGCTTGTTTTTCCTCCCAGTGGTGAGTGCACTGCTTTGGCAGTCTAGATCTCAGTGTACTTGCAGATTTATCCATATTTTAAACTGGATTCAAGTTTTCATCAGAAAGTATATCAAGTAGAGTATATAATTACATATATAATTATATGTAATTACTGGGCATAGGATGTATGCATATATAGTACATAATTACATATTATAGTATATAATTATATAAAGTATATAATTACATCAGGATTTTAAAAAACATGAGAAGGGCATTACTGTGCCATTCAACCTGCCTGGCCCTACTTTATCTCTGTGAACATCTCTGTTTACTTGGGATTTTAAAAATAACATTTAAATATTGTTTACTGGGAGTCTTTCTAATTACACACATAAGATATGTTCAGTACCAAAAACCGGTAGTACAAAGAGACACACAGTAGAAAATATTTGTTCACGTTGCACCATCCAGAAGAGAGCCACTGTTAAAAAGTAACAAAATTTAAAAATATATGTTCTCCCCATAATTTGATACACATATATAGATACATTATAGATAACTATGCGTGTGTGTATATATATATATATATATAT